CACTTTCTAACCTATACAAGGAATTTCTTAGAAAGTAACGGTCTCTACTGATATTTATGGTTGATTTGAAGTGTTGTTGACAAGGCCAACTATTGTCTGAAATACTAATAATAAGTTTCTAGAACAAAACAGTGCTCTGTCAGCACTTTTCTAATCTATACAAAGGATTTTCTTAGAAAGGAACAGTCTCTATTTTCATGATATTTGTGTTTGACTAGAAGTGTTGTTGACAAGGCCAACCATTGTCTGAAATACCACAATCAAATCATGATTTTAATTCACCAAATTGACATTTTCCTTTTGTATTTTCAATGATACTAAACAGCATGTGTGACTGTATGAAAACCTCTGGGCTAGTTATTCTGAAAAATGTAATATGGTCTTTTACGATATATATATAGGATTTATACAATTAAACAAATAAGATTAACCGGTGCCTGTGTTATTTATTGTATATATATTTTTTTAACAAAATTCTATTATGAAAAACTAATCAAACCTTTCTTATTTGAACGCCAACCAGAAATCCTTTACATATTGCCTAATAATGGCAACTCCTTAAAGGGGAGCATGTGCTTTAGTTTCAGCTGATTCCCCATAAAGACTCATTTGATGCACGCACATAGCTTGTGTGCTGCACCATCAGATAAGCCGTGGTAGGTACACAACCAAGGAACAAGAAGATATTCTTGAAAAATGTGATTCCGATGTAATATAAGAATAAAATGGAATGCCAAAAAGTAAAATGCAAAGCAGACTGTACTAAAAATTAGGGAAAGTTGATTAATTATACAAGCTGTGCTTCAAGTATTTTCTAAGCCTCCTAAGATCCAATCAGCTAGAGGTTTTAAACTAAATAAGAAAAAACAAAATGTAAATGTATTCATGAAAAAAGTGATTCCAAGGAGAGTAAAACTAATTTGGAGTGCAGAAAAGTAAAATGTGGAGCAAACGGCAGTAAAAATTGGGCAAAGTTGACTAAATATGCAAGCTGTACCTCTAGCTGGTGGTATTTTCTAAGCCTCCTGAGATCCTACGGATCGGGGTGAGGTAAATGACGCCGGATTTAGCCCTTGTATATAAATTAAATATATATATATATATATATATATATGTATATATATACATGACTGTACCTTACGATTTCGCTGCCGTCAGGTTTTTTTTTAAGGTTGGCGTTACGTTAACATATTTCGGCTTCATTTTATGGCATTTTGTCAGCTTAGTTCTGTACAGCATTCACGCTACAGATTGCTCCTTCCGGGAAAAACTCGCGAGTTATCGCTGCAAAAACTTCACGATATTTTCTCACGCAAAGGAACTGGAGATAAGTTGGCAGATGTCTTCGTTTATCAACACTACTTGTCATTCTTGTTATGCTCAATACCGCTGAACACAGGTTCCAGATAATGGGGGTATCATATAGAACGATAAAAACGCCAGTGTATGTCTAAATAGACCTCAGTCTTTATGAGCAAAAACTCGTTAAAACATGCTACTAACATTCATTTTGGGAGAAAAAGGGGATTTAGATTTTTTAGTTTTGTTTGAGTGGCTCCGCTTCAAGTGCTTATGACACGAGATTTCTTTTCTGCATTTTCTGGTTGATAGTTGTACTTAAAATTAGAAATAATCGACCTTAGCACCTAGCGAGTTCTCCTTGACCATTTTTTTGTGCATTGAAAGCACGATTTGGCGACCAAAAGTGTCCTCATCAAGCACGCGGCCAAACGATTATGTTACATAGCTGTGACGTACAAAACTGTGAAGACACGTCGGCAAATATGGTGGAGAAAGGAGAAATCTAGAAGAGATGACGAACATATTGCGTGGCCGGAGCGCCAAATGATGTTAGCTAAAAGAATAATACACACACCGGGTATTTCGATATACTACTTTCCAAAGGATGTAGCTGTATGGCCAAAATAGACGCGTTTCGATCGTCGACATCGAGGCTGAGATTTTCTCTTTAGTGTCGTCGGCCTAATGATCCTTACTGGCTTCGAAGACAGCTAATACGAACACATACCACTTGTCAAATCAGGGGAAGATGGCAAATGAATCCAGCTAAAAATAATGCTGATTAAGGGGCCTGTTACTACACCGTACACAATTGTTCCACATTCTGTTCGGCTGACTTTTTTGCAAGCGAAGAATGATGAGTTCCTTACGGTTGTTATTTCACGCACTTAGGATGTACTGATACTCCATGTCTTTCCACGTGACTACATTTGCACTTTCTTATCGTATGGAAATCTGACCAATTGTAGTTTCCATCTTGCTTTAATAACAGAAACGCATCATTTGTAATGAAGTTCAAGCCCTTTCCTGAGCTAACCAATATCCTGTTGCCTAAACAGTGCGAAACCTGTGGTGAAATTTCTGCGAAACCTCCGACGCTAAATTTTGCGAAGCGAGCATGGTTCGAAATACGAGTTCAACAGGATGACGCCATTCGATGGAATGATGGAATGGCGGAATGGCGAAATATTCTACAACGCAGAATGCCTTGTTGTATGAAACAAAGTCTCACAAAAATGGAATGGCAATGAAATGAGAAAATGATTTTAATTAACAGGCAAATTAAAAGAAGGCTAGTTTAATCTTTATTGGAGCCTAGGGATAGACTAACAAAGGAACAGTGTGGTTCTCGAGCTAGCCCTTATAAGTTATCAGTACTATCACTTTTGTTATCATTATCATTGCTATTGTTATTATCAATATAATGATTTGTTACCATTTAATCAGTAGCTGAGTGTCAACTATTCACTATATTCTTGAATCATCTTTCTCTTGTGGAACAGGGCTCTCATAAGTATGTAGGATGCGGCAGGTTTTTGGCTTGCATGCGATACAAATCTTCTGCAACGCTACCTTCTAGCATCATCATACAACCCCTGGTTCTTTTCAATGCTATACAAAATTGTGCTATATCAGTAGCTATATGCAGTCTTAACTGCCTTTTTTGGCATTATAGTACGTACTCTTCAGTTCCAACCTGGACGCGCCGCTTATGGCGGACCAAGATAAAGAGTTTGAGAAGCCGGTTTAAATGCAAGGATAAAAGTTTCAGATCATGTATGTTATGATTTCTTCATATGTATGACAGACCTTAAAAAGAAAAGCGATCAACTTTGGCTTCAATAGGCTTTGTTAACTGATTAAAACAGCTGTTGACCTTTATTTTACCTTTGTAAAAAAGAAACCAAGTACATGCATTATATTAGAAGGTCACTATGACAACTTAAACGTAACAACATGTCACGAAATTTACATTTTCGAAAACATAAAAAAGACCGTTTGCTAGCACACAAAATTTGAGTTTCACTCCCCAAAAGCAGAAACTCAGACCTGACGTTTAAACGTAGATCAAAACTTTTAAAATCGAAGACGACGAGTGAAAATTTATTGTGTGTTGGTACTAAATAAGATTTTGAAATGCATTTGCATAAGTTTAGTCTGTGTCAGCACTTCCTAGTTTCTACGAAAGAATAAAAAGTAATTATAAGTTTCTAAAAAAAAAATCAGCGCTATGTCAGCACTTTTCTAATCTCCACGAAAGAATAAAGAGGGTAAGTTTCCCAAAAAAAACCCTGCGTCAGTAATTTTCTAATTTATATCATAATTTCTACGAAAGAATAAAGATAGTAATTATAAGTTTCTAAAAAAAAAGCAGCGCTATGTCAGCACTTTTCTAATTTCCACGAAAGAATAAAGAGGGTAAGTTTCTAAAAAAAAAAACTCTGCATCAGTAATTTTCTAATTTATGTTATAATAAATTTCGGATATAACGCGCGCAAGCCTCAGGAACTAAATCGACAACCCTTCGAGTGGAAAAATAAGAGCTTGCTCTAATAACCTTTCCGATGCGTTAAGTGGAAGGCTACATCATTCACTGCAGCCGAGTTTTACGGCGCTGTCATTCCGAGCGATCTTCATGTCCTGGTGAATTCGGCTGTTGTTCATTCATAAAACACTCGCCTTGAACAGTTTGTTTCCTACCTGTCATGTAAAATAACTTGCGTATTTTTGTGAGCCAAGATTGGACCACTGAACATTTCACTGTCAGATTCTGTATTAGAAACTGAAAAACTTCAGGCAAGAGTGTTCAATTCGACATGCCGAACTATTTAAGTTTGTCAAATATTGCAAAGTATGAACTTTGATGGTTTGACATTTTTGACAGCATTAGTCTTGTACAGCCAATCGGATTATTTGAACCATTCTAACAGGGATTCTGATTGGCTTATTGTAGTGTGCTTTAGAGAGTATAGAGCATGCTAACGACACTGTTGTTCGCTTTGGAAATAAAGTTTGTTTTGAAAATTGAAGGTAATTCTTTGGGAATTTAACGGGTTCTTTATTATAAAACAAATAGAGAAGTCTTATTGGCTTATTGTAACGTGGGAACAAGGATTCTGATTGGCTTATTGTAGCGTGCCTTATGAGAGTAAAGAGAATGCTGACGACACTGTTGTTCTTTTTAGAATTAAAATTTGTTTTGAAAATTGAAAGTGATGCGTGGGGAATTTAACGGATTATTTATTAGAACACAAACAAAAAAGCCTTGACTGTGCTCTGTTCTGTTTTGAAGCACACAGGAAGCGGCTAGAGCACTCTAACCGCTTTCTGCGTGCTTTACAACAGAACAGAGCAAAGTTAAGGCTTCTCTATTTGTTAACGAAAGAATAAAGAGGATAAAGCCGTAAACTCACTGAAAAGCTTCTCAGCTTGAAACGAAGTGGACATCTATCAGAAACCATCTACAACAAGATCAAACCTAGGCACAAACAGCTAGGATCTACGACTTACCTAAAATATACAAGTCCAACACACCATTAAGACCAATTGTATCAGGTATTAACACCTTTGCTTACGATTTGTCGGCATACCTAGCCAATATCCTGTCCCCCTTGACAGGCATGTCAGACTTCTCAGTTGTTAACTGTACGCACTTCGTGTCAACCATCAGTCACGAGAAAGTACATGATCACGAGGTCATGGTATCTTTTGATGTAGAATCGTTGTTTACAAACGTACCGATCGAGACTGCAGTTCAAGCCGCATTACGAAAACTAGAGAACGACAGCGATCTTGCTAACCGCACGAACTTGAATTTGGTCTTAAGATCGACATTTTTCTAGAAGAAAACGGAGCAGCCATGGGAAGCCTTGTTGCTGCGGTTGTAGCTAACTTCTACATGGAAGAATTTGAAGAACAGGCGATAGCAAATGCGAGTTGCAAACCTAAGCTCTGGAAAGGATATGTAGATGACACTTTCACAGTCTTAGACCGGGACCGTGTCAACGGCTTTTGTCAACAGCCTACTACTCGTTTTACCATGGAAATCAAGAAAGATAACACCAATCCCCTCTCGACACAACAGTTACAAGGCACTCAGACGGTCTTCTCACTACCACTGTATATAGAAAGCCCACCCACACTGACCAGTACCTAGCCTATGATTCACACCACCCTCAGTCAGTGAAGCGTGGTATTGTTAACTGTCTTTACTACCGAGCCTAACACCTCACAACGAAACCGTCAGTTATCCCCAGGGAAAATAGACACTTGTCATCAGTACTTATTTCTAATAGCTATCCCTCTTCATTTGTACGAAACCTCGCAAAGACAACAAGGTTAACAGGCAACAAAGAACCCGCACAGGAATTTTTAATCTACTGCCGTTCTCCCTTACATAAAGGGTGTATCAGAGGTTCTTCGCCGCTGCCTACAACATCAAGGCATACGAACCGTTTTCAAATCGGACACGACACTTAGATCTCACTTAGTACGACCTAAAGACGCCCTAGATGATGTTACAAGATCCCATGTGAATGCGGCAAAGTGTATATCGGTGAAACTGGGAGATCAATGCGAGAAAGGAAAAAAGAACATGACAGAGACATACGGTTTGCTCGTACTTAGACCTCTGCGGTTTCGGAGCACGCTAACGAAACGGGGCATATTCCTATTTGGAGCAAGGTTAAGTTTATTGATCGTAACCCCCACTGGTACACACTTAGGGTCAAATGGGCTATCCATATAAGACTTCATCCCGACAACATCAATTGGGATAGCGGAATCGACATAGCGACACCTAAACAATCGACCTCATCACCTGATGAAGAGTAGCATTATTGCACTCGAAACGTCGCGATCTACATCAAAAGTGACTCTATCGTGAGACAAACGAACAAAGTTCATCTCCTATCTCACATTACGATGAACAATAAAGACATATTTCATTACAATATCACACCTGATGATTCTTCTAGGGAGTCATAACATTAACATAAATTTTTTGTAGAAAAATAAAAAATCCTCTGCTCATACTTGAAATAAAATTCTCAGATAGTTAAAGAGGACATACTTAGCAGCTAACAATCTGCAGTTTTTAATGGATAAAAATAAAACTCGCTACAGCTGCACATTTTTCATCGGTACAATTAATTAGGGAAGAAGAAAAAAGATTAGCACGGAACGAAAAATTAGATCGAAGCCAGGGTTTTACATTGGAAACTTGTACCTTGATTTTTTACTTGTCAAAATGTATTTGCCACCATATTAAACGAGGATCAGGAAACATGTGAAAAAGAATCTGAGTGTATGTAATTAAGTAATTAATTAATTTCCACTGTAGCAGTAATAATCTTGTGCATGAAAAAAAAAAACGTTGCTAGCCCAACCATTATGTGGGTAACCCTATAACTACGACTCATCACGATCGTTTCTGAGAAGACAGAATGCATTTAAAATCTCTATTTTCAACGCATAAAAGGGTTGTTATACCATCTTGGTTCTTTATCCCTCATCAAGGTTGGGTTTTCCAAGTTGATGACCTGTATGACAGCTGATAGTCTTTTGAGCCACGCCCACACACCGTACAGATTTGACGAGGAATTTGCACATCCCAGCAGGTGGCACTCTATTGTATCTCACGACCTTGAAAAGCTAAGCAATGGCTTGTGTCTAACAGACTCACCTTGAACACTCCAAAGACTGAATTTATGTTGCTCGGCTCTGGGAAAAGATTAAGTACTCTACCTGATACGCTCGAACTTTCCATAGATAATGTTCTGATTGAACAAGTTTCCCGTGAAATCCCTTGGAATATAAATCGATGAAACTTTAATGTGGCATTCTGACATTAATAAACTGTGTAAAAAGTTCGCTTCCGCTATTGCAGTCATGAAGCGAGCTAAGCCATTTGTGTCCCAGTCCACCCTACTAAATATTTACAACTCACTACTTCAATCTCCCTTTGATTACTGCAGCCTAGTCTGGGGTAATTGTGGCAAAACATTATCTAACAAGCTGCAAAAACTACAAAATCGTGCTGCACATGAAAGAACTTCATCAAACTATGTCTGTTACCTGAACAGTGCGAAACCTCTGGCGAAATCTCTGCGAAACCTCCCACGCTAAATTTTGCGAGCATCATCCTCTAGCATCATCATATAACCCCTGGTTCTTTTCAATGCTATAAAAGATTGTGCTATATCAGTATTCATATGCCCTGGTTCTTTTCAATGCTATAAAAAATTGTGCTATATCAGTATTCATATGCAGTTTTAACTGCCTTTCTTTGGCATTATAGCACGAACTCTTCCCAACCTGGACGCGCCGCTTATGGCGGACCAAGATAAAGAGTTTGAGAAGTTTAAATGCGAGGATAAAAGTTTTAGATCGTGTATGTTATGATTTCTTAATATGTATGGCTGACCTTGTTATGGGCCTACAAAGCGTATCAAGAAAAGTGGATAACCTTGACTAAATGACTACCTTGACTAAAATAGGCTTTGTTAAATGATTAAAATGACCGTGTATGGCCACCTTGGAACAATGGCGGAAACAGCTGTTGATCTTTATTTTACCTTTGTATAAAAGAAACCAAGTACATGCATTCTATCAGAAGGTCACTATGACAACTTAGACGTAACAACGTCACGAAATTTATATTTTCGAAAACATAAAAAGACCGTTTGCTAGCACACAAAATTTGAAAGCGGGAATGCATCGCGTTGTGGCACCGGTACGAAGTTACCGAAGCATAATTTTCATCGTGTTTCACAGGGGGTACAACGGCTATCTAGGCATATTTGGTTCATCAAAAGGGTCCTTTAGGAAAAACAAAATGAACTGTCGGCGGATTCTCGGTATTTACGTTCAGAGGCTCTTTTAAAAATGACCGTACCGGTGGAGGACAGATCCAGATGCCGAACTTTCCATGTAACGAACCAAATGCATAAGTTACATTATAGCGTATTTTGAAGGAATTTTCTTGAACCTGTTTTGAGAACGGCCATTAAAGGTAATAAATGTCGGCTTCAAAAGGCCTCCTATTTTCGATTTGAGTCGGTTCCAAGAGATTATAAACTGGTCGGTTCAGATTTTAATTAAGTTCAGCTCATGAAAAGCTCGGCTCATAAATCGCGCCTTATTTAATGTTTTGTCGACCAGTTGTGGTTTTTATTCAAAGTGTCGACTACCCGTGACCGATGCAAATGGAATTCTTAAACATTGTCATTGATCAAAAGATTTCTTCGATCATCAAACCATTTGTTCCAAAAGAATTTCATCATGGCGTAATAAAAGGTGGCTTCTGCAGCATTGACCACAATAGTAACTGCCTGAAGGGCGGACGGGGTTCGATGAAAGTTATTCACACCTGTTACTTGGAAAGCTGCTTGCGTGGAAGTCAAAACGAAAAGATATAAGTTCTCCAGGATAAATAAAAGCAGAGTGAGCGAGTATGCCAAATTCTTTACGTTGTCTCTGTGTTCCTTCCACGGTGCGGGTACAGTATTCCACAGATACACTACCAGGGTCGTCGCAATTTCTCCGAGAATGAACATAACTTCAATAATTAAACTTATACTTGATGTTTCTGTGCAGATGACGATGATGTTGTAAACAACAGCGACCATTAACTGAGCGAAAAGCGACCAGAACCGGGCATACTTCGAGTTGTTTCGAAGAGCAGAAAGATATCCTTCATAGTTTGGCACCTTTCGTAGCACAAGAATAACAAGTACAGTGTTGATAAACGAAGACATCTGCCAACTTATCTCCAGTTCCATTGCATGAGAAAATATCGTGAAGTTTTTGCAGCGATAACTTGCAAGTTTTTCCCGGAAGAAGCAATCTGTAGCGTGAATGCTGTACAGGACTAAGCTGATAAAACGCCATAAAATAAAGCCGAAATAAGTTAACGTAACGCCAACCTTTAAAAAAACCTGACGGCAGCGAAATCGTAAGGTCGCTTCCTCTCTCCTGTTATTCCTACCTATCAGAATATAACCTGTGTCATTCTTCATACTGATCAAAACGAAGAAGTTCAGCAACTTGACTTTTTTCACCATTCAATATTATCGTCAAGTGTTTCTATAGGAAAAATGGAATTTCAACTGTCGGCATTCGAGGAATACCAGAGTGGAAGAGCACGTCGAATATTGAAAGTGAAAAACCTTGAAGGTAAAAATATAGGATCAATATCAGTATCTGGGCAGCCGCCCACCTACCCCTCCCTTAACTCAACAACAGTCAATTGACAACAAGTTAAGGTTAATGTTGAGTTAGGGGAGGGGTAGGTGGGCAGTTGCCCAGATACTGATATTAATATATTTATGCGTCTGCCGTTTTTCACTCCCCAAAAGCTGAAACTCAGGCCTGACGTTTAAGCGTAGATCAACACTTTAAAACAGTAGACGACGAGTGAAAATATATTGTGTTTTGGTGCTTAATAAGATTTTGAAATGCATTTGCATAAGTTTAGTCTGTGTCAGCACTTCCTAATTTCTACGAAAGAATAAAGTGGCTAAGTATAAGTTTCTAAAAAAAAAAAAAAAAAAAAAAAAAGCAGCGCTATGTCAGCACTTTTCTAATTTCCACTAAAGAATAAAGAGGGTAAGTTTCTGAAAAAAAAAATCCTGCGTCAGTAATATTCTAATTTATATTATAATAAATTCCGGATGTAACGTGCGCTGTCATTAGTTGAAAAAACGTGCTCTATGAGAGTTTATAATAAAGTTCGGATATAACGTGCGCTGTCACTGGTTGAAAGAGCGTGCTCTATGAGAGTATAAAGCATAGAGCTGAGCTAAAACTGTCACGCCATTTGCCAAATTGGACTATGTCCGACCTTTTCCGGGACTTCTTTCTAGCTTCTCTTTCGTCAATTGAAAGTGAAATTTAGAAACAAGCGAGCAAAGGTTTGCAGAAATGCCAGGTGCAGTAATTTACGTTACTGTTAAGTGAGCAGAGACAAACCATCCTCAAAGATAAAACAAAATGGACAGTCCGAGTTTTAAAGGTTTTCACGCTCAGTTAGATTGCAAGTTTACGTACGGTAATAAAAATCAAACACAGCTAACACTTGTATAGTGTATAAAAAAACAAAAACAGAAAAAAACAGGAATGATGAAAAATATAACCTGGCATAACTGTTAAAATTCATACTAATAATGACGGTGTCGGAGCGACTGCGATCATGCTGAGGTCTATCGCGGCTAGCTCATCATGGCGATCATCGGTCATCGCAGTGGAGCAAGCCTCAGGAACTAAATCGACTACCCTTCGAGTGGAAAAATAAGAGCTTGCTCTGATAACCTTTCCGATGCGTTGATTGGAAAGATACATCAATCACTGCAGCCGAGTTTTACAGCACTGTCATTCCGAGCGATCTTCATGTCCTAGTGAATTCGACTGTTGTTCATTCATAAAACACTCGCCTTGAACAGTTTGTTTCCTACTTGTCATGTGAAATAACTTGCGTATTTTTGTGAGCCACGATTGGGTCGAATTTCACTGAACATTTCACTGTCAGATTCTGTATTAGAAACGAAAAAACTTCAGGCAAAAGTGTTCAATTCGACATGCCGAACTATTTTAGTTTGTCAAATATTGCAGAGTATGAACTTTGATGGTTTGACATTTTTGACAACTTTAGTCTTGTACAGTCAATCAGATTATTTGAACCATTCTAACAGGGATTCTGATTGGCTAATTGTAGCGTGCTTTAGAGAGTATAGAGCATGCTAACGACACTGTTGTTCGCTTTGGAAATAAAGTTTGTTTTGAAAATTGAAAGTAATTCTTGAGGAATTTAACGGATTCTTTATTATAAAACAAATAGAGAAGTCTTATTGGCTTATTGTAACGTGGGAACAGGGATTCTGATTGTCTTATTGTAGCGTGCCTTATGAGAGTAAAGAGAATGCTGACGACACCGTTGTTCTCTTTAGAATTAAAATTTGTTTTGAAAATTGAAAGTAATGCGTGGGGAATTTAACGGATTCTTTATTACAAAACAAACAGAAAAGCCTTGACTGTGCTCTGTTCTGTTTTAAAGCACACAGGAAGCGGCTAGAGCACTCTAACCGCTTTCTGCGTGCTTTACAACAGAACAGAGCAAAGTCAAGGCTTCTCTATTTGTTAACGAAAGAATAAAGAGGATAAGTTTCAAAGATCCAGCAGACCGGCTAAGCCGTAAACTCACTGACAAGCTTCTCAGCTTGAAACGAAGTGGACATCTATCAGAAACCATCTACAGCAAGATCAAACCTAGGCACAAACAGCTAGGATCTACGGCTTACCTAAGATATACAAGCCCAACACACCATTAAGACCAATTGTATCATGTATTAACACCTTTGCTTACGATTTGTCGGCATACCTGGCCAATATCCTGTCCCCCTTGACAGGCAAGTCAAACTACTCAGTTGTTAGTCACGAGAAAGTAAATGATAACTAGGTCATGTTATCTTTTGACATAGAATCGTTGTTACAAACGTACCGATCGAGGCTACAGTTCAAGCCGCATTACGAAAACTAGAGAACGGCAGCGATCTTGTTTATCGCACAAACTTGAATTTGGTCTTACGATCGACATATTTCCAGAAGAAAACAGAGCAGCCATTGGAAGCCTTGTTGCTGCGGTTGTAGCTAACATCTACATGGAAGAATTTGAAGAACAGGCGATAGCAAATGCGACTTGCAAACCTAAGATCTGGAAAGGATATGTAGATGACACTTTCACAGTCTCAGACCGGGACCATGTCAACGGCTTTTTGCAACATCTAAACAGTCAACAGCCTACTATTCGCTTTACCATGGAAATCAAGAAAGATAACACCAACCCCTCTCGACACAACAGTTACAAGGAACCCAGACGGTCTTCTCACTACCACTGTCTACAGAAAGCCCACCCATACTGACCAGTACCTAGCCTATGATTTACACCACACCCTCAGTCAGTGAAGCGTGGTATTGATAAGTGTCTATACGACCGAGCCAAACACCTCACAACGAAACCGTCAGATATCTCTGAGGAAAAGAAACACTTGTCATCAGTACTTGTTTCTAATAGCTATCCTTCTTCATTTGTACGAAAACTCGCAAAGACAACAAGGGTAACAGCCAACAAAGAACCCGCAAAGGAAATTTAATCTACTGCCGTTCTCCCTTACATAAAGGGTGTATCAGAGGTTCTTCGCCGCTGCCTACAACATCAAGGCATACGAAAAGTTTTCAAGTCATAACTCCTTGTTCTTCAAAGAGACATGGCAACAGTCTTCCATCGGAAAATAAAGACAGCATAACAACCAAGGACAACTTCGTTGTATCATAAATAACTGATGACTGGACTTTTTCGTTTTTGTTCTTCTTAATGTTTCCTTTGGTTCGAAGCAGTCACTGCGATATTTAAGATAATTATTTGGGCAGCCTGACCCAACTCAGAATGATGGCAAAAAAGTTTCAACCACTGTAATTTCTTATCAAGTTTCCAGGAGAGAGATTTACTTCCTTCTTTCAGAATTCACCTTTACCTATCGATCAAATAACCACAATTAAATTATTTCAGTTCAGCACAAAAATTTAAACATCTTTTATTGATAAACTCTGTACAGTAATAAAATAATTGTGCGTGATATCCTTTAATTTCCATTGTAGCACTATAATCTTATACATGAAAAAAAAAAAAACTATTATGTGGGTAACCCTGGAACTACGACTCATCACGATCGTTTCTGAGAAGTCTGAATCCATTTCAAATCTCTATTTTCACCGCGTAAAAGGGTTATTATACCATCTTGATTCTTTGTCCCTCATCAAGGTTGGGTTTTCCAAGTTGATGACCTGTATGACAGCTGATAGTCTTTTGAGCCACGCCCACATACCATACAGATTTGACGAGAAATTTGCACATCCCAGCAGATGACATTCATATGCCAATCACAACGATAAATAGTGAAAAGCGCACGATACCATAAATGAATCGATGCACTGTGACATAGTCTCCCTTTCAGTAGTATAACTGCATTTGCATTCATCCGCGTTGAACTAGGTGTCTTTTGGTGCGGCAGTCATAAAGTACGGAATGTATGTCAGTAATTCCACGCCACTAATGGTATCATGTTTGGTCTGAACATAGAGACGAAGAACAGAAAAATCATGTGAGTAGCCTACTTGATACAGGACAGTTTCAACTGATAGCCGAAAAATCAAAACCAAACTAATTCCAGCGAGCAATCAGAACAAAGGTTGGCATGAACGTTTTTCTGGCTCGCCCTCATTTATTGCTTGTCCCCACAAAATAGCTGCCTGGAACAAGGGTGGGCGCCTCGCATGGGTTCTAGTGTTCCGTTCGCGTCTTCCCTTTTCGGCGTTTATTCCCCGTAGTTTTTGTTGTTGTTGTTGTTAAATAATGCTTACTATTCCTGTTGATAGTATTTCTTCACTTTCTATTGCCCGATAAGGTGGTAGATTTGAATAAATTTATCAAATACGATTCCACTGAAACTCACTCGAGAGCGAAATAGAGTAGGTGGTTACAAGGCTTCGAATCACAAAAATGAACCGATTCAGGCTGTAAATACATGTACGACGATTAGCCATGAACAACAAAGCTTTCTGTGTATCTGACTTAATAAAACACTCAGGTTGCTGATACTTTGGCAGAATAACAAAAAGAACAGAGCTTACCTTATTTACAGTACTAAGAATCCTCTGCAGAATAAAGGAGTCCGGATGAACGTTGATAAGAGAGGCCAGCATGTTCTATAAAAAAAACATTACGTGGCGTAAGATGAACAAGAACAACTTTCGCAAATTTAGTCTCGGTTTTTTGTAGGTCACAAGATAATTACCTCAAAAGACTGCATATCTATGGTTCCACTCTGCTTTTTGTCAACTTTGCAGAAAGATTCCTGGAAAAAAGGGAAATATCTTATGTCTGGTTTATGTTTAGTGACACGGTTCGTGCTTTTCACAACTTCAATCTGTTTTCATCGAGTACTGAAAAAAAAGCCCTTGTCACGTGACGGAGAGAGCGTGTTTTGTGGCGGGACTAAACGGCTGCAAAGGAGCTAAAATAAGTCAAAGAACGTGTCTCTCTAGCATAGAAACTGAACATAAGGTAGGCTGAATGCCGGCCATTTTCAAAAATCTTCAACACCTTGCATGGCTTATGTAGTTTCCTTCCTCACGAATGGCAGGAATCGCTCTTGGAATCACGGTCGGAGGATTTAAGTTAATCTATTAACAAGCTGATAAAGTCGTCCTATAAATTACACAGGTCTTTTATTGATGCATAAAATGTACATGTATTGATATCCAGTAACGTTCACTCATTTACTCTTAGAAACAAGCGAGCGAGGAATATGAGCTACCATCATGCGAGATAAAACGTTAAGCTTTTCAATAATTCAGACAGTTTCATTCTTTACCATGAAAGTGCTAAGCCAGAAGTCCACTGAGGAATAATCCAGGCTGTTGAGTGCATTTGAGACAGCAGAACTGAGGGACAAAAAAAGGAAAGCAATTTGACACACGGTATCAAGGTAAATTGTTGAAGCCGCGAGAAGTTGTCAAGAATAGCTTGCCAATGTGAGTGCACTCGTATCGAAACCTTTTCATCAGTAAGAGTAAAGTTGACTTCACCTTGATTTGGCTAAAAGATCGCACATCTGATGAGTGGCTGTGAACTCCTCCAAACCAAAGTAAGTACTCTCACAAGCTATGTCATAAATCTGGAATATAGACAGGATTTCAAGCAACAATAACGACAACAGAAACCAGAGATAAAAACATTTCCACCGATAATCTCTCGGGGGGGTAAGGCTATTTACCAAATACATAGCCGATGTTTACCTTTTTCAGGTAGCTGACTTGTTTTCTTGTTACATGCGGTGGAAGGCTTTTCTTCAGTTCAGCAAAAGATAAGTGTCTAATAACAAAAATCCGTTAAAAAAGTCAGGTAAAAAGAGCCAACCTGATTGATAAGCCATTAACTGTAGATATTAAAACGAAAAAAAATAATAAAAAGAGATATTTCCCTTTCAACCTTTGACGTACTCATGCCACGCCAGCCATCACTAGTCTATAATACGTCACTACATCTGACATCCCAACTGTCTTGCATGTCAGTCATAATTCAGCCCCATCCATCACAAAACATCCCCCTCTAAGTGCACTTCACCTTCACTGAACGTCGCGTTTGATCGTCACTAGACGTATCTAACTGTCAATTGTACTCATCGCCACTGCACCCTCCACCCCCCCAGAAAGATCAAAACTACATGAAACCGATACATAGAGCAGAAAGGATCACAGCAGTCCTTTCACCCCTTACGTCATACCATGAACGCATTTAAAAATCACTAACCCATCACAATCAGTGTCCAACTTTTTGAAAATTGCAGATAAGGTGGAAAGATCCTTTTGTTGATCTGACGAAACCTGCGGCATTTAGTAGGACGGGTTAAATAAAAATAAGCAAACAACTTTAAAAATAACAAGACCTAATACCGTTCACGCTCAACTGGTTTAAGTGATGCGTACCAGCCGCTCGGCAACGCAACTAACCCTGTAACACACGTAAGATGGGCCACGCGAGATGGAGGGCGTGACTTCTCTGAAAGCAAAACTGAATTGTTCTTACACCCTAGTCGAATTGTGCATTTAAATTTAAAAGGAAATGTTCTCAATATTGATGAAAAACAATTTTTTGTATGAGCGCTTCATAGGGTGTCAGAAACATGGATCATACTCAGAAGTGTTTTTCGGTCAAACAAGAGCCAAATGAATGTGTTCACAACGGCCAATCAAAACAAAGGAAAATATCACAAGGTCTGACATCTGATTGGTCGAGAAAGAAGCGGAAAATTGTGACCAACTACAGAATGAAGTAAAGCCAAACGCAAGCAAACCGGTTAATCGGTACATTAGTTTTCTAACACCACTCAGTATTGGTTAAAAACATTCACACCACCTTCTCTGCCAATCGATGTACAACTAAATCCAAACACGACTTGGTATCTCGTTTTCTCAGGTGTTAACGTTAAGGTAATACGTACCAGTGCTCAGTTTGATTTCTCACAGACTCCCAGACTGGTGATTTTTTCCTTAGCTCCGATTAGCCATTTTAAAAGCTTTAATTTTGGTTCAAAAAAACGCAATAAAAACTGTTCTATCACCATCATATCCCAACCTTTAAAAGCCTGGGTGTGACTGATCGTTGTGGCTCACACACAGTTAAGGAGGCCGCAGATGTGACGTCTAATCTACCGGACTGTTCTTTGAGCTCCCTATAACACAAAAAGGGAACAACTTAAACCAGTTGAAGATGAGCTCGATTCATAAAAAAAATAAAAAGAACTGGAAAACTTTCCTGGATATCAAACACACACAAGAACAAGAAGAAAAATGATTCACATCCCCCCCTTTAATTCTGCTATAAAGTTTTCTGTCTTTCTTATATCACTGGTATAAACTCATTCTTACGGCCTTAAAGCCCACATCCTATTCAGAAATAACAAGTTTCTTGATAAACAATGCCATTATTAACCTTGACCTTGGTTTGTAACAAACCTCTCGTCTTTTGAATATTCTAAATCCATCTGCTCAACAACATCTTCTTTTTCACTTTTATTACCATGGTCTTCATCAAAATTTTCGACATAAATCATCGACTCCTCTAAGTGTTCTTCGGTTGCAATGTCAATTCTGGGTACTGGTTCTGTCCTGTTGACTTCCTTCACTTTCATTAGGGATTTAAGGTTTGTCTGACCAGTCAGTTTGGATGTAGACTTCTTAACTCGTTTTTGGTAGTCAGGGAGATTAAAGAAGCTGTCTGATGCAAGTACATTTGCCCTTTTACTCTATAAAGAGCAAAAAAAAATTGAATGTTTCATTACTAATAAAACAAACAAGAAAAGAAATAATTGTTAAGCCTTAAACTTCCATGAGTGACCAAGACCAAGACAGAAATTCTCCATACAACACTGCTACAATATCTAGTGAGGGGATCCAATATCAAATTCTCAGAACTAACATCACAAGAATTGTATGGCAGACAGTAAGGAGAATTACTACAATAATGAGATTAGGGAGTGACAGGTTTAGGGAAACAAGAGCCCTTGATGTCAAGCTAAACTGCATTGAGATACAATCATTGTTTAAAGAAATTAAATGGTTAAATCAGGTATCACTTCTTACTGCTGTTGTTGTAGCCTCTAAACTACCTGAAACTTTTTTGCTCAATGAATTAAAACATGTTTTAGCAATTTAAAAGAAGACAAGAAGAAAATACATCACCTTTCTCCTTGACTGTGGAACATCTAATACTGAAGATAAAACAAGTACCAAGTGAGGCAAAAAATATACACCTAATATATGGTCCTGAGGGAAACAGTTACTTTTGTTTTCCCTGGAGTCCTGATGTTTCCCTCAACTTCATCTCAGGAAACATCAGGACTCGAAAGAAAACAAAACTAACCAGTTTCCCTTGTGACCATACATTAAGTGCTTTGTTATATATTTAGACCTTCCCTTAAACAATCATGTGCTGTTGTATTCTGCATGCAGCAACAACAGTGCAATTATATCCCGGTCGGGATACATTTTAATTTGATCAGAGGCACATGACAACGAATCAACCAATCAAAGTGCTCGTTTTATTGAATGAAAGTCTAAATATTTAACAACAAAACATATCCCATACACCAACATGTTCTTGACACAAAATACCTCTCTCCACCCTGGACCAGGTTGTTCAAAGATGGGTTAAGATAACCCAAGATTAGTGCAAATTTGATTTTAGATCTAAAAGCTTTAAAAGAAAATCCAGCATAATTTTTTTGTCTACAATGTTGTGATTGGATGCTCCAAGGAGAATAGAGAAAACACCCTGAACAAGCTTTTAAAGGAAATAAAGAAACCTGCATTGAAATTTGACCTAAGGGTAGCACTTATTGGCTTTGAACAACTGGGCCCTGGATTACAAATGGGTAAAAACGACATGTTAGGAAAACCTGAACAACTGCTGACAGGATAGCCTGCTATGGACTATAGATTACGTTATCGTCATATTTCATTGCGGAAATGCACTAAGCTACTCCAGTTGGTATTCAAGCTCTTTACTCAAGAATCCTTAAACAAATAATTCACATTTAAAGAAAAATGTTTAACAAGTTCTCCAACTGGTGGAAGGAAACTCAGGCAAGTGGTGGAACCAAAGATTACAAGGACCACATACTGTTTGAAGCAGTTTTTTTAACCTGGAATAAGCCAATTTTGAGTCCAATACTTTCATATTTCAGTCACACTTCCTTTCACAAAGTTCATGATGCAATCAGTGAACAAGTTATTCACATTAAGGTCTTCTTGAATTTGCCTGGTAGCAAATAATTGGGACATTCAACTATAAAACAATATTCCTGTGCACTTCATGTTCAAGGGACTGATCTCGCAAGACAGGCCACATGGCTTGTAGTCTCAGACTCTACCTTCACATACTGTACAGCATATGATGTTACAAAATAAGTATACTCATGACTTTCATACCATTGGGCATTTGCTGCTTCTTTGGAGGAGGCCTGTCGGTTGGTTTTACTGTTTTTTTATTGTTAAGACCTTCCTTTCTTTCAACTTTGTTCAATCGCTGAGCAAAAACAGGAACACTTGTCAAAATCAATCTGTTAACACTGCGATAAAAGCTTTACTCAGTTATAAATAACTGTAAAAAGATATTTCTTAAAAAAATTATAAAAATTAATAACCGAAGAGCAGAATTAAAAGTCAAGAATGTTTATGTCTAAGCATACATGTAAAACTTACCTCTTTTCTCAAACTATCTAAAGATCTTGATTTAAGGGTCGCCTTTTGATCTCTCTCTTGTGTGTGACGTCGACAAGAGCATGATCGTGAGTGTATTTCTAATTCTTTAGGTTTACTAACACCTCTTTTGTGTATTTTACGGGGGGATGCAAGTTCAGACAGATTTGATGATAAGGCCACAGATACATCTTTAGTTGGAGAAACAGCATTTCCTACTGATGGCATCCTATACCTGAAAACAGAGGTAAAATCAATAAAAATAAATCAATGCAGATTACTGAGCATAAAAACAGCTCAGGGACTGAATGATATACAATTTTAGAAACTTCTCACCCAGATAGCAGAGCAACATTTATATAAATCATAATTCATTCAATATTTTGGTAAGTTTTGAGTAACTTTTGGTGCTGTTCTTAACTAAAAAATAAGACATGTACAAAGTTAATGATGAAGATGACAGTTTTAACAACCTAGTTTTGGCTGGAGATGAAAACTTCGAGAGTTTGGGTACATTAATGAGGATCATGAGAGATTTACCATTTCTTTCAAGATCCTAAAGGAATTCACCACTATTGCAGTCTGCAAAAAGTATGAAAATATCTTTACCAGAACTAAACTATTGTTGAAAATCTCTGATAGATAAGAAAGGTTTACTGCAAGAGATGGAGGTATTTTAGAAGATCCTTTTGTCTTCGCTACAATTTTTTAGGGTCTTTCTGAAAAGTGAATCCAGTATGAAAAACCAGAACTGACCTAGTGCCAATAACAGTTGATCCACCAGGTGCCATTGGATAGCCTTTCTTGTTGGTGTTGTCATCTGTTGTCTACAGTATATCAAAGTATCAAAACTCGTGATTCAAAATGCACAATTGAGCAAGCAATGTTTAACCTTTTCATCTTGCATTTCCCCAATACATGAATATTAATTCTCCAATCTCAGATTTCGCTCCTTGTCTAGTCTCTGTTTGTAATTAGCAAGGGTCCAAGAGTACCAGACTCTATTCAACATAGCCCTGGAGGGGAGGAGGGGGGGACTCAATGAGGCATGCAACTACCCAACCACAATAAGTTGGTGATTCTATTTGGAGCAATGATGATATCTATGAATTATATTAATTTACCAACTGTCTCCTGTTATGTAAATTTTCCACAGGTTGACCCACTGATTGATGATGTATTAATCTTTCAGAGGTGCTCATCCTGAAATTTAAGAAAGCGTATAAGATTAAAAAAGAAAATGGTCAGCATCTTTAAAATTTACTTACTGCAAAAATGTAAAAGCTACCAGTCAATTAATTTACATCTGCTTTGGGGAAAACTAGACTATTATAACATAGTACACGTGCTTGCCCTATATAAATCCTATTGAGCCGCTATGAACAAAATCTTTATTTACGCTGCCTGTGCATAAATAAGATGACGAGAGCATTTGTTAGTGACACTTTATGACATTTGGGTTTGATTTTCTCCATTTTCCCCTCAAACTTGAGCTTTTCATCCACAGTTATCGGTTAACTGGATTAAATGTTCTCACTCAAACCAAAGTATAAAATGTGGCGTGTTTTTGACCAGCCAATAGGGACGTTTGTTTACTTTTTTTTGTGTGTGTTGTGAGAATTTTGCACTCTAGCTATCACAATAAAGGCTTCTTTATGCAGATCCTTGTTGTTGCTCTGTTATAAAAGAATTTTCTCATGCTTTTAGCTGTGCATATATTGAGTTATTGATGCACTTGGGAAGTTTGGAGGGCACTCAAAAAGCTAGAGTTGCTCTCAGCTGCACCTCGAGCTACTCTTACGCATTTTTCGTGCTCTCCAAACTTCCCATGTGCATCTTTTATTAAACTCCATATATGCATGCTAAGCATGAACAAATTCTTAAATTTTTACCCTTTGGTTATTGCAGTCAATTTCCGTTATTAACAATCAGACCAATTTATTTGCCTGTATATATGTAGCTAATAACCTTTTAGCATTTTCTGTCTCCTCTCACTTACATGTGAAATCCCATTGCTGGTAGGTGTGAGACTTGACTTGAGGTCTGGTCAATTAAAGAAAGGATATAAAATAAATATTTGAAAGAACAAACTTACAGGAGTACTTTTTCAGTTGGCAGGGTGACATAATGATTGAAAAAAGAAAGCAATATTCACAAGATACTTTCCTCCAAGTGCAAGACAATGTTTTTGTTGAAAGGGGAACGGTGTACAGTAACTAAAAAGTACATCTCACACCACTGAAATTTAGCCACAAAAGTCTGGGTAGTAGCCAGAAAATTCTTCAGTTGGGGATGATACTGAAAACATTTAAGTCTTATTGCAACTATAATGTTACAGTAATGATTGTTGCAACTTACAGCAAGGCGAGGATTAAGCCCTTGAGGGAACCAACCACGTTCAGCATTTTTAAATTCACAATCAAGCTGCAACTGTTTCATTTTCAACTCACTCGATCCACTATTAAAAAGAAAAGGATCTATTTAAAGAATATCAAATAAACTAAAAGTAAAATTGTTACACCTTTGTACCATACCTTAAGAACAAGTAAAAGCTCAAGCAACTTTCTTTCAAAAGTTGTGCTTAAGTCATACTTGTAAGGTGGCATTATAATGTGGACAAAGGACACTTATTTGAGAACAGCCAAGAATTTGCAAAATCACAAAGTTTGTTTCCAGGATAGAGGCTGTATTCTGAAGAAAGTTATTGTTATTCAGCATGGATTGACACATTTCACAGTATACCCACAAAACTATGCCTGCTTTGAAACAAAGTGAATGCTTTTTGGTGACTTACAACATTATAAGCCAAATTATCAATGATGCTGTCATTCCAAAGGTAATGACCAGTGATATTCAAAGATACCTAACGGTTACTTGTTCCAGACTGACCTTTCAATTCCTCCATTAGAACCGAGTCCCTTTTCAGAAAGAAAAGATATTCAATTATTAATTATGTTGAACTTAACCAAAGCAGTAACAGATATCATCATAACTGTCTTAATATCTATCTCACCTAAAATTCCAACAACAACCTAAATCTCCATTTTGAAATGAGTACCTAGAGTTAAGCTCATTCCTCCAACACCAACAGTGTTCTTTCATGCAAGATTTATTCATAATTTTTAAAATGCTGGCATACTGACATTTAAACAAGCTGACTCGATGGACATTCAATTGCAAAGTTTCATCATTGTGTGATTGTTTTTCCAAATGTGAAGCAAATTAATGCAGATACAAAGTAATAGCAATAATTGCCAGATATAATGTAAAAAAGTTTTTTGCTTTTTGCACTAACTTTATTTCCTTTTAAGTAACCATCATGAAAACTTTTTCCTGCACTAAGGGCAGTAATATTAGTTGACCCTTCAACTGACCTGGAGGTGATTAACACATAACTTCTCCCTATAAAATCTACACATTATCCAGCAAACAGGTAATGAGAATACTCAAACTTATCAGGTAGAATTCATTACCCTGATTGATCACCAAATTCTTGTAACCAATTTACAAGGTAATGCAGCTAGATGGGAGAATTCACAATCAGATTTTGGGAGTGAGAGGGTTAACAAAGAGTTGATTGTTGTGTTTTTCCACAAATGTGAACTTTTCTACTCTTATGTCAGCTTGGTTTCTCAATTAATGATGCCATGATAGTCCTCTTGGCCAAGTACACCAGCTTCTGTTAGTAAACTACACTGTAGGCTCACACATTTGGTGACTTCGCGGTATAAATGCCAGCACACCCAACAACCTTACACCCTAAAAACCCCATCTCTTATTTAAGCGGATACAACTTCTGCTTCAAAGGTAATGTCTGCCTTATAATACTGTTTTTTACATTTGTTAGACTCAATCTGTTGAAAAGATCATATTTTCTGCCCAAGTATCCAGATTTGCTAATGCAAGCAAGACGCTCTCAACATGAATTTTCTACATGACTGCAATTTTCCTAACAAGATTCGCTCTCGGTTTAGAATTTCTTCATTTCATGAACTACAGCATGGGCATGAAGAAATTTATTTCCACGGCGTCTGAAATCGGACAGTATGGACACCTCTCCGAAAGTAATTAAACTTATGATCAAATATTCTGTTACCTTAACACAAACAAATCACAAATTCGCGTCACGCCAAATCAAAATAATTCGATCTATTGAAATCAGCCTACCTACATCACCTTGAAATTAGGAATGACAGATTAGATTGAGACAATTCCATAATATCTCCTTTCGTTAGCTTAAGTTTATCCATACAGAAATTCCACTTTCCAAATATTTATAATTAGTTTCAAAATAAACACGGCATGCCTTCATGAAATATCAACAAAGAGCGTATTCATCTCTTAAACAAACTAAGCATGCAGGAAATGGATTACTTAGAGATAAGTGTTGTGCGCGATTTTTCTTTAGTAAAAACTAATTCACTTGCCTGGTCATTGCCTTTTTCTGATCCTTTACCATTTGGAGAAGTTTTCCCCGATCTCCTGCTGACGAGCGAGGTAAAGGAACCCTCGGAAATGAGCGGTAAACTCGGACAGTTTCTTTCTTCGTCCTTTGCCTTTGAGTTGTTTAAAATTCTAATTCCATGAACACCATTTAAACTGTGAATGGGACTTGAACCAATTCTGAATTGTCCATTTGTTATCGATGGAAGCATTTTCGTATGTTTCGCAGCGTCTTTTATAAGTGACTGACAGGGTGCACGGGTCAGGTACAAGATCAGTGGTTCTCGTAAGTTCCATGGAAACGTGTTCAGGGCGCCAGCAGAACAATCGACATCGCTGAACGCTTACCAACCGAAAAATTCAGCTGACTGAAAACACCGCTATTCTAACTCTACGAATGGGTTAACGGAATAATGTTTCGTTTCTAAATCTGTTCCTCCCATTCTGACCACAAAACAGCAATGAGCATATCACTGACAGCTCTACGCGATGCATAAGGATATCATCCGCGACGATATTGTTACAATCGGGGGAGGTGAGGGGACGTAGAAATTTCGAGCACCTTGCCCCTAGCTCTCTACATATTCTGTATTTAAATATTCTTAAGATTCTTTACGTGTCTTATTGCAGCGTAGAATTATTTCACTATGTTTGACGCTAAATGAAACTTGAATTGGGAAACGTTGTAAAATTTCTTAGGGTCAGGTGGGCTGAGTGGCCATAGACCTTAAGAAAAATATAACAATACATGTTACAATTTGAGGTACTCGTCTGAAAAGCGTTATTCGTGTATCTCTAATTAGGGGGCTGTGTTCTCTTTTCATTTGTATCATTTGTAGCATTGTAACTCTTTAAAATGTCCAGTGAATATTGCATTCCAGACCTGATCGCTAAAAAGAGGGATGGCTTTGAACTAAGCGAGGAAGAGATACATCATTTCGTGAAGGCTTCTTACTCGTCGAATGGTGCGTCTGAGAGCCAGATCGGCGCGATGCTCATGGCTATGTATTTAAAGGGACTGAACCGGGAAGAAACGGTAAGCCTTACAAAAGCGATGCTTTCGTCAGGCAGTTCTCTGACGTGGCCTGAAGAGTGGCAAGGAAGTGTGGCAGATAAGCATTCAACAGGAGGAGTGGGGGATAAAGTGAGTTTAGCGCTCGCACCCGCGTTGGCTGTGTGTGGAGTGAAGGTGCCGATGATTTCTGGTCGAGGCCTTGGTCATACTGGTATGCTCTACTCTCTATTTAATTGGAAATGATGTTTTAACTTTAGAATACATCACGGTAGACTTCATCCACGTTTGTTTTCGTTTACATCTAATTGAAGATAAAACCTCCAACCGCAAACAAACCACTCATTATATCCGCACGCCACTCATTATATCCGAACGCCATCAACGCATCAGCGATTTGTACATATACTAAAGGTTACCTCCCACCTTCGCGGGTATCCTTCGGTAAAAATTTGTACGCGTGCTAGTTTCACTAAAATCCTAGCAAACTATACATTAAAAGAAACTTAATAACTTCAGATTACGATAAAAATATAATTTAAGCGACTTTCCTTTTAAAGAAGTTTCAGAAGCCGGTAAAGCGTGAAACGATCGAAGGTTCTACGATAGCGGATAGCACAGCACGTGCAAAATGACTACAGTCTTATTTACAAGGCATCAATCAACGTAAACATGTCTGACCCTTTTTGTTATGCGTGTTGCGTAAATGGAAACCCCGGGACGAATAATTTCCCGACACACTTTCATTTGTCGTAATTCCCGGAATGTTTTGGCGAAATTTGACGAAAATCTGCCAAATTTATATACTCTATAATTTCGCCCAAAGTGGTTGTATTCCCCCCAAAATCAGATACGAGATTTCAGGTCATACAGTTTCGCAAACAACTCGCGCAACGCCAGGAGATTATTATCTGGCCTCCTAAAAACCGCAAACCAATCGGACAACGGGACCTCCTGGCGTCAATGAAGATGATCAAGATTTCCCGGGAGAGTATCCCATTGCAAACACGTTTTACTTTTCAGTGGAGCGTTGTGGAGGACGATACAATTATGGGCAAAGTTGCTAAAGGCGAAGGCAAAACCCACGGCAAAAATGGAAAAAACCGCGAAATGTGCTGAGAAGTAAGACAAAGAATCGACAGGCAGCTTTCCAAATTACGATTCGAGGCGATTGATAATGTTTTTGTATCAAGGCTGATTCTTGTTTAATAAAAAAGGGAAACCTCGTTTTTAACATTATGTGTGGCAAATTTTGATTTGACGGTGACTTCTTTGTTCGAAATCTGGACGCCAGCGTGGAGCTACGCCAGTACTAGTCGCTTTCACAAAGGAATTTTTTTCTTTTCTTGACAGAATGGTACTCTTTCTTTCTTCTTCGGGCATGTTTTTTTTTTCTTTTTTTTTTACTAAGGAGTTTCTTCGGCTTTTGATTTTTCCAAGAGCAAAGATCTTTCCATAAGTAAAAAGCTTCCACGTATGAATTTTGTTAACAGTGCGATGTAAACAAAATATGGAAATAACAGGAAAGACGAGCCCCAAGGTGAGAGGTTGCCGCGAAGTTCCCCTAGGGGATTCGGCCATGTCCGAGATTATGACAGATTCTTGATTTATTAACTTTTATTTGAAAATACGTTTTTCTAGATAACTCGGGTGCTTTTAAAGATTTCAGAAAAGTTTTTTATGGAAACGTTAGGTTGAATGCTTGAATTCATTTTTGTCAACTTTATATCTCCTTTAGGTGGAACTTTAGACAAGTTAGAGTCAATACCAGGATTTCAAGTGAATCTAGACGCCAAGCAGATGTGTGATGTGCTGGCAAAAGTTGGCTGCTGTATTGTTGGACAGACGGAGTCGGTGGTTCCTGCTGATCGCGTTTTGTACCGTATAAGGGATGTTACAGCTACAGTATCGTCAATACCTCTGATATCAAGTTCTATTATCTCAAAGAAAGCTGCTGGTATGCAATGGCTGTGATGTATACTTGCATCAGAAACCTTTGAATATTTATATAGCTTGTTTCTCTCTCACTGAGAATTTGTTCTCCCCAATCCCTTCCTCCAACCACTGAAATAATTTAGGTTGACCTTCTATGTAATATACTTCTTTAAAATCTCTATGACCATGGTGTTTGTACGAGTACTTTTAGATCAACTGTCTATGTTGCAAAGGTTTTGCTATAGAAGGTGAACTCAGATTATCTGAACAATATGGATATTTTCAGAAAGACTTGGGGAGAAACACTTCTTTTGTGCTCTAGCCACTTCCTGGGTGCCTTATAAAAGAACAGAGCTCAGTTGAAGCTTTTCTATCTGTTAATAATATTAGAACAGCAATTATGATCACATGATCTATGATACGCTTGGTACCATTCATATCAAACTTTGGTTATGGCCATTTGTCCTTTGGAATGAGATAATTTATCAATCTTTTACTGGCCATTCTATCCTCAAATTGGATTCTAAAGGTGTTGACTCTCTTGCCTGGGTATAAGGTTGGAGAATCAGACTGGAAGAAAATAAACTTGATTCCATTGTATTACTGGTAGAAACAGGCAGAAAGGAAAAAATGATATAATGGTATAATGCTTGGCTTGTAATATGGTAGGAAAAACCAGTATCTGATATGAGGCAAGGCAATGGTCAAAAGGGATGGGTGGCTCTTTATCAGAAAAAGATCACTTTGTCAGTTATAAAGATTTTCATGTCAGACTTACCATGGAACTCTGATTGGTGGAGAGCATACAGTCAATATACAATAGAGTGTGAAGTTTATATGATAACCCAATATTTTCAGCAGATACTGGGTCATCATGTGCAGTGTTCTCAAACTTTTACAAACTCAGGGAGAAGTGTCCTCTACTGCTGATTGTTTGAAATTTGTATTATAAAATAATTACGAAATGTGGTTTTCACTGGATATCTTGAATTATCAAACCTCTTGTCTGTGTTATCTACCTTAACCTTTAGCTCAGGTAGATAACTAAGATCTTGGCATTAATAATTCATGATATCACGGTCAACCTCATCCAATAATTACATGATACCAGTGATAATGTCAAATTGACCTTTTTTTTTGTCACCTCCTATCAGAAAACCCATCAGCCCTTGTGCTGGATGTAAAAGTTGGCAAAGCAGCCTTTGCAACCACGGAGGAGAGAGCTCAGGTTCTTGCTCAGACCATGGTTGGTATATGCATTGGTTTAGGCATCAAGGCAGTGGCCCTGATCACCACCATGGATGCACCATTGGGAAAAGCTATAGGTAACAGTGTGGAGGTTGCAGAAGCCATCAGCTGTCTGAATGGAAGGGGCCCTAAAGATTTGAAAGAACTTGTGATTGAACAAGGCAAGTATGGTGGTAGGCTGGTATAGTGCAGCCGTGTGTGCCATTTAGGTTCTCGTCCTTACTCCAAAGAGATCTTTCTCCAGGGTTTCTTGATCAGTTTTCCTCCTCCCACCTAACTGAACCCAATGACCTGGAAACAATTGACAAAAGGCCTTGCCATGAATGTGAAGCTAGAATTTATTCATAGCAACTGAAATATAAGTTACTGGTTTTATGTAAACCTTAAAGCTTTCTTGACAATTCTTTGGTAGCTTTTGGAAACTTCTATATAATATAAGCCATTTTCAATTTAAGACAACATTTGATTTCCTTCAGGTGGTTACATACTTGAAGCTTTAAACAAAGCAGAATCACAGAAAGCTGGTGCAAAACTCATTGCAGATGCACTGGAAAATGGAAAAGCTCTTCAAAAATTCTGTGACATGCTGAAAGCACAGGGAGTCTCGCCAGATTTGGCTAAAAATCTCTGTACCCGAAATGCAGATCCCTTCAGTATCTTACCCATTGCTGCCAAAAGATTTGACCTTGTTGTAGACAAGAGTGGAATTGTGACTGTTATTGATGCTCTTGTCCTTGCAAAAGTGAGTCACAAGCTTGGTGCAGGGAGAAGTAATGTGGCTGATAAAGTTGATCATGGAGTTGGGTTTGTCCTTAATGTGCGCGTAGGTCAATTTGTTAGGAAGGATGATAGATGGGTGACTGTGTACCACAATGGTAACCTTTCTGATTCTCAGATTGCTGAATTGAAAAGTGCCTTGGAGATTAATGAAAATGGTGGCACTGCAGATCAACCCATAACTTCAAGAATTATTGATGTCATTGACAGCAGAAGACGAAATTCAATTTTTGTTGGTCAGTGAATTACAGAAAATTTGTGGAGAAAATAACCTAAATTTTTTTAAACCAGGATTCATGATACAATTGTATTTTATTTTTACATTTGCTAAAATGATAGTGGTGTATGTACTTGTCACTTCATGAAGGTTTGTGTAGGAAGGTTTAATTTTGTTATTCTGACTGGGAAGTTTTGCATGATGGCAAGACTTTCATAAGATTTTGATTACTTTACCATTTCCTCTAAAGAAAATAGTTAAAAAATCATTCTTGCTTAAATTAGTGTTTAGAATAGTATCTTCCCAAATATTTGCATCTTTCACTCCTCTGTAATAGCATCATTGATCATCAGTATTCACATAATTTGCATCTTTCACACCATTGTAATAGCATCATTGATCATCAGCATTCACACAATTTTGTATTCATGAAACTCTCTCTCTCCCTCTCTACTTAAAGCATTACTCAAGTAAATTGTCAAAATGGTGGAAAATTGAATCTACTGGTTTATATGCAGTTGTCGACTTGAATAGTTTAAAGTATTATACCGAGAGTTACATACTTTGCCAGAAATACACAATCAAATGAAACATCTTTGCAAACAAATTGAATAATGAATAGAGCGTACCTAATTTATGACATTATTTAGTTATGGCTATAATAGTTTCAAATATTTGTATGGTATTATGAATGAGACTTCCTTTACTTCTTGTCATATCTTAAAATGAAACAGTGATGTCTGCTTTAATAGCTTTAGTTTGGAACCCACATAATTAACAAGGAGCAAATTCACGATAATTTCAAATTTTATTTGGTGTAATAACTGAAATGTACATGAAGAGTAATACATGGCTGTCAACATAGTCACTTTCATTATGTTAATCAATTTCCTTCACAAAGATGAAAATTTTCAAGCTTATTTTTGGTATATTATGTGAGATATTGCAGTTAATAAGTTAAAATAATTTTCAGCATTGTAATTCTAATATTATTGTTATAGTTGAGTATTGTACTATTTGCTTTAGGGTTAAAGTGTAGCAACCCAGTAAAGTTGAAATACAAGCTATATGAAATTAAACTCAACGATAATTTATAATCTGAAAAACTTGATAGAAGATGAGGAACAGCATGGAACACAATGCCTCAACAACCAAATATTTATAGGTTCTGGTATTTTCTCCAGAAGAGAAACTTTTATCATCACTGAATCAAGTACTACTTAAAGCAGAAAAGAAATGACAGTACACAATTTTAAAATTATCGCATCTTTATTTCAGAGTTGCCATTATGACCCAAGGGTTACAATCAAAACAACAAAAATTTATATTCACAAAAAGTAGGCCCAATGTTTGTTAAATCTGGTAATGAACCACACTCCTTTCAAGCTGGTGCCATAGCCTTTAGGTCTCTAATACACTGGCTAACACTTTCCTTTTCCTGTGAGAAGTTCAGAAAATGAAAGTCGGTTATTTTTTCTTGAGAACAAAGGTTTTTAAAGGGTTTTAAAGAAGGATTGGCCTGGATGCCAGACCCTGTCAGTGCAAGGAGTATTACATGAGTCTCCTATGAAAATCTGAACCACTAAATTTTATGAAAAGGGCCATGAACTTCACCAAAATTCAGTGCCACATTTGCTTCTTACGGTTCTATGCACTGATTTGCACAATTGGATTCCATTCAGCATTCTTCATTTCATTCACTAGGTAGGTTGATTTTGTTTAACAGACCCCAAAAACAGTAGAGCAGAGTATATGTTTTGGGTTCAGCCTTTACCCAAAGCTCACTACCATGTGCAAAGAAAGACTTGTGAAACCCAGGGTTGACAAGGATTATAAAAATTCAATGAAATTTCAATTAAAAGAAACAAAAGTAAATCATACTCTATTCCTTACAGTGATAAGCCAACACTGCAACCTTTTTTACCAGGATGGCTTACACAATTGCCCAAATTAATTGCAGTTCACCAGTTTCCCTAACTGGAAAAAGATGTTGAGAAAGTTATTGTTAAATCAAAAGTAATCATTTCAGTTTTCCATACATACCAACTGAGGTGAAATACTCTTGACAACTTCTTTTTCCACCCAATCAACAATGTGTGCTTGAGCATTCCTTTGATGGAAAGCTTCAATCTCTGCCTGATAATCCTGTGCATTAGAAATGAAAAAAAACAGAAAAAAGAGAAGTTTCCTAAGTTTCTCAACAGCAACTGGCTTTGACTTCAAAGGAATTACCAGACTTAAAGTTACTAATGACCCCTGATTTCCACTTAAGCTTGAAATGAAATCCACTGATCCACAACTTTTTGGTTTAGAGAACTACCACTACCCTCTTACGATCAGCTTGTAGATTTAGCCCTTAAGGTTTACATCTGCGCTACAATTTTCAAGATCTTCCTTAGGTTGGGCATGGATATTCCCTGAAAGCCAACTAAAGCCACTGTGTACTTCAAAGAAGTAGAAGATTACTTATTCTTTTTGGGAAATAATGTTTTCACGTATATCTGCCCTTAGTCTCAGTAGAATAGAGCTCACACTAAAGGTAACTATCACAATCTTCATTTCAAGCTCCCAAATTAAGTGACAGGGATCCATAACAGTGCTCCACATTACTCAATTTAACTCTACACCCTGACATCAGTATGCACATTCTCCTCACAGTTCTATATAAATTTCCTGAGGCACCAACTAGGAGAATTTGTTGGACAATCAAGAGTTCCTTTAGCTGGTGATCATTTCCCTGATTCTTGTGACCTTAATTTTTGATTCAGGGATGATAATTAATGGAGAAATTAGATGCTGGTCACTCTTAGGGTTTAAAGAGTTGCGTGTTATGGTTCTGTATGCAAAATTATTTGTTCATGACCACAAAAAAAAAAAAGTTACAGCTGTAAGTAGGCTATCCTCTACAACTAAATTTACCCAAAGGAGCAATTTTTTTTCTTTGAAATCAAATTGTTTTAAATTCTTTTTTTGTTTGTTTGTTTTTGGACACAAAAATACTTCTGCAATGGTTACAACATTCCTACAACAACAGTCAACAATACATAAAAACGTAAGAATGATAAATACCAAGCGTTTGGTGACTTCTCTAGCGACTTCATGCAGCCTGTTTCTATACTTCAGCTCAAGAGACATGGCATTATTTTCCTATTTAAAAAAATGAAGAAATAGAAAGCATGTATGAAGGCCATACCATGAACAAAATGGCATAAAGAAGTTTATCCCAAATGTTGCTTGCCTAGGACACCTGCCACCTGGTGGTCTCTTTAAAAAAGCTCAGCTTGGAGCATTGCAAGTTGGTTATTTTAAACGCATTCACACAAAAAGAAAGAAAAATTTCCAACCAACTCATCAAAAGATGAAATCTTGGGTTATTATAATATCAATTTCAAAGAAAAAACATTCAACCAATACAAATAGACAACAGTAAAGTTCTGTAAAGTTCACATGGACATAATGTGAACAAAAATTTTAACCATCTTTAACCATTTAGCCATCTTACCCTCATAATTTCCACAATGTCTGTCCTGGCAGAATGCAGGTACTCAACCTGGCTGGCCTCCTCAATGGTGCTAGTCAACATCTCAATGCGCTTCTCTTTATATCCATTGAATCTGGCTAAGATTCCCTGTGAAAATTTGACATGTATTGTCATAGTTTCAGCTTCTCAACCTTGAGTCCTTTTAAAATTATTACAAGTTAAAATATTTTGAAATTTGGCTTTCATTCATTTGATTTGGCCGACTGCTTGGATTTTAGTTTCAAATTAATGCACCCAAAAACAAATGATCAATAGATCAATTGAGAAATGAATTTGTGGCATGTACTCAACCTTCCACAACCATTGAACAACGCAGCAGAATTAGTAGCATAACATGTGTACAAAAGACTCAGTATCTCTGTAAACATGACTCACTTGAGAATAACTGTCTAGGAAATCTGCAACTGGCTGAGAAACTTTTAAATAGACCCAATACATAGTGCCGAACATCACAACAGCAAGAAGAGTCTGAAAAATAACATTAGCATTGCTGTCACTGTTCTGTAACAAGTTATTTGGAGGTGTTTACTCTCACACTCTTCAGGTCTAAATGGTTAATAGTAAAACTCTCTGAAAAAGTGAGTGAACAATTCATTTCAAGAAATTGCACTCTTAAAGTTAGTCTGCACAAGCATAAAGTGCCCCAAACCATGTTTGTCTTATCAGTGTAAGAATCTATTGCATCTCTTCATGAAAACCTTCACACCCTAACATCAGTATGCATATCCTCCATACTGTTCTCTATGCATTTCCTACGGTGTTGACAAGGAGAATTTGTTTAACAATCAAGAGCTGCTTTAGTTAGTGGTCATTTTCTTTTCTTTTTGTGACTATGTTTGATCCAGAGGGTTAAAAGTACTCCTATATACAACACACACCAACACTAATACGTTGCACTTAAAATTGTTTCTTGGTTTCCAATTTGCTAAAGCAGTGTGATTTGTCTAATACCCCATTCACACCAAAGCTTAAACATGTTAAAAATTTGTTTTGATGAACAGATTTAATAAGACTGGCTGTTCACACTGCAGGCACGTTTAACAAAACACGTCTAAAACTGTGTTTAACAAAACTACCTTGAAAGGTAGTTAAACAATTGTTTTTTAATAAAACACATTCAAAATGGCGGCAGAAACCAAAACGCACAAAAGAGTTTGGGAGCACAAAGAAACCCTCTGTTACTTGAAAAGTGGGGAGATGAGAATATCCAGCTCCAGCTAAAATCATGCACAAGAAAAAAGCCTACATGCGAGAAATTGTGGCATATCTTTGAGCTGCAGGCTACAAAGACAGAGACAATGGCAGCTACAAGACACAAATTTACACTCTGATAAGTGCCTATAGAAGCTACAAAGAAGAATGTGCTAAGACGGGAAATGCCACACCAAAGAAGAAGCCGGCTTTCTTCTTGCTGTGTTTTCCAAAACAAAAGCTCAGTATTTTGCCCATCCACCATTTTGTTTACATTTTAAATGTTGTGACTGTATGATGTTGTAACATTTTATGTCAATTACAATCTCACAAACACGAGGCTGAGCATGAACACAAGGCTGCATTGTTGTCAGCTCTTGTTGTTCAATGTGAACAGGTTGATCAGTTAACCATGTTTAATTAAACATGGTTTCATTAAACTTTGTTTAACAAGACATGTTTTGATGGTGTGAATGAGGTATAATTCTCTTTTCCTTTCTTTTACATTATGATAGATAACTTTAGACCAAGAATGAACTTAAAACACAATCTACCATATGAATTTGTTACGGTTTCATTTTTTCCATAGTATGTATAAGTTCAAACAAGAGATTTCCATCTGTTTCAAATTACAGTGACAACCACTACATAAGAGAAAAGGATTGTAACCAAGGAACAAATTCAACCAAAATAAAAAAAGAGGGGTATGCCCACTGTTGCATAAGCACCTCATCATGAAGAATGAGTATTTCTTTTGAAAGGATGTAGGTGAGGAATCCACCAGCCAAAAGTTTGTGGCCTAAAAATAAAATACATACGAAGATAGTATTAATTACATGTATCTTTCTTACAGTATAAGGTCTAACTGCAGTTGTCATCAGACTGTTGATAGGGTCAAATCTAGCACTTTAAGTTAAGGGAAATTTAAGTGAAGCTAACTGATGCCCTTAACACAATGATTCTTAAGTTCAACTTTTAATTGTCTTTATCAAACTGCCACTGAGAACAATAAATGCATGTTCTATAACTGAAAATAATAACTATATGCGCTACATTCTTTCGTCTTACCAGTCTCCCCAGTCTTCTCCTTCAACAAACTGCTGATATCTCTATAGAACTGACCAAACTCCTGAGGTTTATCTAAATGATAAACAAAATCAAACTTAAATTGTTGTCACCAAATTTTAACTAAACATAAACATACATGACCAACTCAACAAAGCTAACTCAAGGAGGTATTCCATGACTATCTCTGAGACACAGCTCTAAGTACAGCACTGGGTAAAATTTCCGCACAGCCCCATACTACATTATGCATTCAGTTCTTGAATAGAGAAAACAATGACAGAAACAATACATTTCCATTGGGAAAACAGATTTGTTTTACAATAGTATGGGGCTGTGCAGAAACTTTACCCAGCACTGTTCTGCATTACCATACCAGAACTAGTTTATAATAAACTTTCATATATAATGGTGGTTCTACATAACCCACTGAACATTGACTGGGAAATTCATAAGCCCTACTCAAATGTCTCAAGATGTTGAAACTGATCTAAAACTGAATATGAAAGCGCTCTGCTAAGTACCGTATGCATTACCTTCCGTTTGTTGGGCAGGAACCTGACACATCAGTCTTGTGGTGGCAGGCAAACTAAGAATGAATTTAAAAAAATTAACTCAAACTACATTTTGTAATTACAACTAAATATTGAAAAGCGGTAGGATCAAGTTGCATGTTTAAACCCTTTGTCAATTTCCAAGATCTAATAAAAGCTTACCTTGGTTTTGCATGAGCTAAGAGCCTGGCTGCACCACCTAAGAGGCAACATGATACATGCAAATATCATCAACACTGCAACGAATGGAACGATACATGATCATTCGCTCAAATTTACGTACACATCAACTATTGTGCAACAAAATAGGCCTCATACAGTATCCTGCGCCGGATACAATGTTTACATACAGGTAAATGTACTCATGTAAAAGTTTATGGCCACCAAAGCAATATACTTACTGCAAAGGCAAAGAGAATGCATAATAAATTCAGATCGAAGTCGAGAGTAATCATTAACAATTATCCCATACCGTATGACTTAGATCTACGCGATTATGAAGGCTTGTCAAAAGCAGTAGTAACTTCGTCTAGATCCACATTTAATACATCAGTTACAGGGGTACAAACGACAATTTCAAAAGATTAATATTATTATGCTGTGTGTCAATTTCACGACCCAATACTTGCTTAGCAGTTTTGGTGCGGGAGGTTCATCGTTTAGCGTGCAAAAATGACAAAACCGTTGAAATAATACGTAATGAATGAGTCTTAAAACCTTTTCAGAAGCATCACCGACTTCAAGAATAAAGACTTACCAATTCTGGTGGCTAAACGTAACCGAGAAATCATGGTCGTACGGTGTTGACTCCTTCCAATATGGCCGGCTAAAGTACGTCGGGCTGCGAGGTGTGCTGGGAAACTTTTGGTAGCCAAGCCTTCTTAAAACTAGGTCTGCACAGTGTACATATGAATGACTGAGAAGAGCCTTTTTATATGGAGACATTTATATGCTACGTTACGAATAACTGTTAAAAGTATGCAAAAAAAAAAAAAAAAAAATTATATCTGATCGCGATTTTAATGATAATTGTGGTAAAATTTTATTGGACCTCAACCATTTTAAGAGCAATTTAGCTCCATTACGATGCGCTTGCCATTAGATCCGAAATAAGCTCTCCACTTTCGTTGAAGGATTCAAAACCCGATTAACATTTTTTTTCTTTAAACCGTCTTGGTATTTAAATCTGGCTCAGATATGATCGTGATTCGAGCAACTCGCAGAAAATCTACACTGAAAAGCTAAACCTGACATAAATGCGTGTGGTAACATGCGATGTACTTTTATCATTCCAGTATATTTTTAAGATCATTCTAGTATACATCATATACCGAAAGTAATAGAAGGTGAAAGCTTTCAATGACAAGTTTCACTAATGACCGTGAGCATTATCAGGCTCAAGCGAAAATAGAAACTATAAACCAATACCCCCAATAATGCCTTTATCAATTCACAGTGTGGAGTTAACTGTGCTTCACTGATCACAGTTGGACAGATTACCTATATTTGTATTAGTAAGATTAGGACGAAATTATACCCTAAAGACGTTTGAATAGAGACAGTTTTTTAAGTCAAAAACATAATGGTTTCCCGCTGATTAATTTCTCTTGAGAAGTAAAAACGTCATAACCCCTGGGATTTGTGTGTTTCGATTGCCTTTTTTTACTGTACGGTCTATTGTATGCAACAAGGCAATATCGCATTAATTGTAAATTAGGCGTTATTTGTTAGACTCATTTCTTTTGTGATATCAAGCGTGTAAAATCTTAAGGCTACCCCTTAGCAACGAGTCACTTACACTTAAGGAGAAATAGAACACGGCGCTGTGACGACAACAGTCAAATTTTCTTCACTGTATCAAACTAAGAAGAGAAACTAGGATGTCTGTATCAAGACACTCCTTGAAAAAAGGTAAGACTAATGTAATTCAAAATTGAACGCACAATTTTCATAGTTTTATAAAGCAATTAAAAGATTAGGAAGACTGGCGTAGAACAGAAAGATAATCCAAAGATTCTTGTATGGTTTTGTTCAACTTTGATATTTTATTTCAAACCACTGACGTACAGTGGAGCCCACGTAAAATAGCCAAGATAAGTTAGAGGCCTCTGAAAATTAGTTGACTTTAATTAGACAAAACAATTTAGTCAATTATCTGTTTGCATGGATAAAGTCGAATAATAACAACCTGTGTGAGCTTCCCTGCTCAGTCAACTGAGATCTCTTTGCTACATATCTACATATTGAGGCTCAAATTTTGTCGAAAGTCGGTATTTTTGCCGACGACAGTAGGCTTTGACGAACACACCTTCAGATTGTTTAATGTCTCAGACAACTTAATGAATGAAAACAAACGAATGATAACACGCAAGCCAGTGTGTTTACCGATTTAAAAAACCATGAAACCTCTATGGTCAGACGAGTAGTTCATGTGGTTGATAACGAATTCTTGTTATCGTGATAAGTCTAGGTAAGCGAGAAGTCAAGAAAGCCCAAATGAGGTTTTTATGTTGTGAGATACATAAAATATCTTTTTACAATTAACTGAGAAAGCAATAACTTGGCTTTGTTCAAGGCGGTTGTGTGTACGTAGTGTGTGTGTTGGTGCGGGGGGAAGGAGGGCAATGTCAGCACAAGTTATACACACTTGGAATGGTCTGTACTCGACAAAAAACCTGTCCTTTTTTCTTGCTAAGCATACATGTATGAAAGATAGTTCTTCAGTTCTTCAGTTTGCGTCCAGCATAGGTAGTTAGGCAAAAGTTGTATCGGTCGACAAAGTCACGGAGCTCTCATTTTAAATTTTCGGCGGAGGAAATTAGTGTATACAAGTCTTGTGGGATTTAAATATTTTAGTTAACTAGAACTGATCATAACTCACCAAAAATCTGTATCAATAACCGCATCTGTCAAGAGAAAGTATTCCAAAATTGCCAAAAAAAAATTAATCATATGTCCACCTGAGGACGAAATACACCAAGCCGGAAATGATTGACGCAAGTGAGACACAATTTAAGCAATTGCAGAAAAGAGGCCTGGAAAGATTCAGGTTTCGACGGGATTCGAACCCGTGCCTCGCTCCAAACATCGTGTGGCTTCTAGCTCATTTGGTAGTAGAGCTCAACTAGTTCCTGGGGTGGGGCGGTTCGATTCTCGTCGAAGGCTGAATTAAATTTTTAGGCCGGGCATCGTTTTGCAATTTCTTTTATTTTAGCTCACCTGCAATGAACATTTCCTTACCAGGAAAGAATTTCCTTTAACATCGGGATAGATATGGGCGTGTCTTAAACAGCTACTTTATCGCAAACATACTCTTTCCCTATTTCTACAGGTATGTTTGAACCCTACAATAAAAGCAGGATTTAAAGACAACAGAGAAGAATTGACATTATTGGGAGATGAAATCGCACGATGACGGCTCAACAAAGCATCTTCCTGGAATATCAATTGGTAAACCCAAACTGCGTCACAGCAGCTGGGCAAAACTGCTCTCTCAGAACAAATCCAGTATATTTGACAAAGGGAATGCAATACTCCCCGAATTACATGTGAATTGTAAACCTGTCCATTCGAGAGTGAAACGAACGAGACAATCCAGTTATGATCCTGTTGAATACTTCGAGAAGTTTGTTAAACAGTGCGGCAAAGAGACGGGCAATATTAATGAAACAAGACAGAGAGAAGATAGCAAAATAGAGGGAGAATTGTTTGGTCGAATTTTGGACGCGGGTAGAGCCATGGAAGGACCTACCACAAGTGATTCGGCAAGTCAGACTCTAAGTAGTGTATCTCAGATTCCAAAGCTACTGAGCAACCATAAAAGAGGCGACGAAGTCAATCGTCTACCACCCCTAACAGATACGTCACCCTCCAAAGTTGAGAAAACACCGGATGAAGAAGTTTACATCCGCAGACAATCTAAAGTCCAAAGAGACTCTTTTGCAATTAAAACTAATGGTGACATTGATTGGCAAAATATTTTTGTCAACGGTGGCTTTCGACCATGCGAGTCGCGTGATTTACCAACAAGGGGCGAATTAAATTTATTGAAATACAAAACGTGGGATAACGAAGGCCCAACATATTGCATCGCAAAGTGTGCGAAGTACTTTGGCCTTGAGAGCGAGAAAAGCAAAGGAAAGATAGTTCCTGAGAAAGAAGAACTACAAAAGCGTTACACCAGCATCTCTCCCACCTACAAATTTTATCCTCTTCGTGATCTCAACCACCACAAAAGTTTTCCACCCTTACCGAACTCTCCAGAGACACTGAGGTATTCCCCAGAGAATCCAAGGAGATGGTATCACTTGTGCAATTCGTGCACGGTTCCCCCGGTAACGCCTGCGTCATCAATGTTCAGATCCTCACCCCTTGAATGGAGTCCATTACATCACAAGGAAAGTAAAAATACTCTTAGCGAATTAGCTGAGATGTCAGTTGGTGGGCAAACAACCGACGAGGGGATTGGTTCACCAACTGAGAGCGTGCTAGAATTTTGAGCAAGAATCTTGTCTTCCTCAAACGATTCAACTAACACAAAGGCACCTTTCGTCGTGCTTTTCCCCTAACTTTCAAAACGAGGCTTAGTGCAACTGTAAACTTCGTTATTAAACAAGGGATCTCGTAAAGGGCCTATTTTTTTGGTTTTTTTCCGTTTAAATCAACCACGTCTGAATTCACAAAGTATTAATACACTTTCCTTCTTGGAATTGAATTTCATAAAATATACTTATAATGCACACTGTATTGAACCTGAAAATAAGTTGTTCCAACAGAACATCTTACTCGTTCTATTTTCAATTTTTATTTCTTTTTGTGTACAACAAGGAGCCGAATATTAGAAATAGGCAGAAAAATTTCTTACTGAATTTTCTCTTATTTTTTGTACACTAAATCTCAAGCAAGAGATTACAAACTCTTGTCTCAAGTTACAAACCTTAATTTTCCTTATTTTTATTTCTGCAATAAATAAAAATTAAAAATTGTAAATAAATCTATATGAATATCCTGTCTATTTTTCCTGATACGTGGACTTGCCGTATACATTTTTTTAAATTTCCTTGTCAGCGTAAGATAGCATCAAATAAGTAGTAGTTTTATTGGTTGCCCAAATGAAAAATTTATAGACTACTAGGAAACCAGCAGCATGCATTACTTGACTTAAATTATTTCGCAGCCCTCCCCCCCACCTTTTTTAAAGGTTGGGGGGGGGTGTTCCGTTTGTCTGAGTACCAATTATTCCTGTAAAAAATATGCATTACCTGAGAGCGAATGACTTGTGAAAATTTTATGACGGATTCTGTATCCAATTTTGAGACTCTAGCAGGGAGACAATCAATTATGGTGCACTATGGAAAGAAATTGTAATTAAAGTAACGTATCTTGAAACAAAGGTTGCGAGAAGGACAGGTAAGATATTTTTAACGGTATTCGGTGATCGAAATTTTAGATCATGATTGGTCTTTCTTAAAAGATTTCGACTCATCTGAGCTACCATTTATGGATTAGGAATGACAACAGTTCCTAATATAATTCTTAAAACTTTCCTCGCATCAACCAACAATTGAGAAATTTCAAATAAAAGAGCAATACATTGATTTCCACAAAAGATGGACAGCTGCAGTTTTCATTCATTCATCAAGGGCCTTTGTTGTTGAATAGGAATTTTATTTTTATAGCTGTGACTGTTTTCAATAACGAAAAACGAGGGCAATTTAGGTCTCTTTCTTTATAAGTTGTTTTTGAAAGATCTATTATTGAAGTACAAAAAGCAAGTTTTGTTGGCTTACATTGTTATTAACAGAATCTTAAAAATACATTTATTGCCTCTTAGACCAAGACCAGGTGCGAAAACAGAATTCTGTGAAGGCCTTTTCACAAGTTTAACACTGTTCGTTCTTTACAGTAATGACTTGCCGCATCTAATAATGTCCCCTCTTCGATTCATCGTTGTCGTTGCGTGCGCTATAATTTGTGGTACACAAACATACACAATACTTGCAATGAAAGAAAATGACAACACTCGGTTATCAATTGGTGTAAATGAAGTATTTTCGTACTTTATCGAACACAAAAACCATCTCCTTAATGTGGGGAAACTTTCGACCTTCTTTGTGGGTTTGATTAGCGAGTGTGCCCTGAGATGTGCACGACTTGCCTCGTGCTTATCATTCAATATAGAGGAAGCATCATTGCACCGGGCAGGAATTCTGTGCGAGCTCTTGTCTGAAGATCTGTATAACGTCCCACATCATTTCCAGCGCAGCGAGGAATTTCACCACTGGAGTAAATTGGTAAGTAATCGTTATCATCAGTCGTGCAGATTGCTCTGTCTCAGATGCGCACGTATTCGACAAGAGAATTATCGAGAACATTTTCCACCGAAATCCCCATTTTACATTTATTTAGTTTACTTTTTATCAACAGCCTCAAATAAACTTGGACGAAGATTTAATCTTCTCTCTAGATAAAATAGATATGAAACGCGACACACTGGTATTAAAATTTGAACATGCAGAAAGCAAAGCCAACAATAAGAATCTTTTCTCACTTCCCTTTTCAAAGGACGATTATTACTTAGAGCTGGCTGACGATAGGTGGAGATTTTCAAACCCTTAGATAGGTCTTAAATACGGCTATAGGACTGTATAGCATCTAATTCCTCTCTACAGTATTGCCCATCTATTACCCTTAAATCAAACATTACGATCGCGAAAATAAGGAAATTATCACCAACGGAGGTTGCTCTCGATTGTTGAAAAAATTCTTCTTGTCGGTACCAAAGGAAACGAGTAAAGAACAGTAAAGAGAAATTGCACACCAATCTTAAAGTGTAGAGCGTAAAAACGCAAATTAATCAATGAACAATAACTCAGCCGATTTATAGTAAACGCTTTAAAACTTTACCTTTTCTAGACGCCTTGTTCACGTTTCCTATGCAAAAACGGAGGGAAGTGTGTTCCTGATTACAAGCGCGGAATCTATAAATGTCTATGTCCCATTGGCTACCAAGGGAACACTTGTCAGCAATTAAATAGTGTTTCGTACGCTGGTAAGTTTTCAACGCTCATACTTCGGTAGCACGTAGCAATTATACTTTTTAAGAACTGGTCTTGCCCTAGGATGAATAGGTATGGCCTCCAATCATGTTTTGTTATCATGAAATTAGACAGCGAAAACAATAAAAAGTTAACCAGAAATTATAGCTGGCCCTAAAAAATCTAAGTCAAGCACTTCTTTGCTGATCGAGGACAAGCTAAGTGCGCTCTTAGAAATTGGAGTAATTAGAAAATGATCGTTTAAAGAGTTAATTTGGTTTAAAAAAATTCACTTTTGGAGAAAAATCATTTCACGTTTGCTAGAAATTAATTAACAAGTGTAAGTATAAGTAAGAAAAATATATTACCTTGCATGCACTGACTAATGGGCATAGTTGAACAAAATGTTGGCCGTATCTCGGTTTTCACTGAGATTCCACAGGATGAGAAGTTGCCAAATTCTTGGTGGGCGTGCATGAGCGAGTCATCTGGTGTCTGACCAAATAAGCTCACAAAAAAAAAGTCCTAAATAATTCTCGCTTTAAATTTAAAGCAAGAAAAAAAAACAACCTGTTCCTCCTATGAAACGCACATTTACGTTGTATTACGTGAATCTGTGATACACTAATTCACGACGAATATCAGAAACATTTTCCGTACAGCGTTTTCAGAAGACCAATAAAAAGATCTGCATGAGGTGCTCTTTCTTAACTAAGTGTCTGAGATAAGTAACCATGATTTCTTCTCAGGCGACGAAGTGGAAGCCTTAGGAAGCCATAGGAGCAATCCAGGACTATCTTGCAAGGACATTGCAGACAAGCGGGATGAATTACTGACGGATGGAGAGTACTGGATTGCACCCAGAGCATCCAGGGACTCTTTTGTAGTGTACTGTGACATGACAACTGATGGAGGTAAGACAGTTATTACGATTTGATCTACTCTTTCTGAATCAAACTCTTGAGGCGTGAAAACTGAAATTAAAAAATTTAAAGAAGTTATCGTGTTGGACTCTTGGACAAAAGCTAGGAACACGTACTGCTAAATTATAACTGTCACAGGTTAATAATATTGGACAAAAATTTCACGAAAAAAATTCTTGGACCAGAAACTGGCTAAAACCCTCACGTCTGAAGTACGACTAAAATATGCAATTGTAAGGTATAAAAATTTGAAGACTTTGTTGCTCCCAAATAGCAAGTTTGAATAAGTCACGTATCGAGCAAACTCACTCACTTAGCTAATCAGTAACACAACTTTGAAAAGAAGCCTATGGGGTATGTTCTTATCCATTAGAGGGCCCGATTAGGTCGAAGCCTGTTAAGCCAAAGACAAAGAAATAATGTGGCTAGTGAGCTAGCTTCATTGAATTTTCATAACAAACAAAGCTCGAACAGTTATTGTACAGCGGAAGTAACTGAGCCCATTCCTATTTGAAAAACTGTAAACTGCTTCATGCATACATCTCCATATCTTGTCTGACTCAATTCTATTTTCACAAAACCTTTTATTCAAATGTGGACAACTATTACATTTTCCTTGTTTTAAAACCCCCATTTTGAGGTGTCCTTTTAAACCTGGTGTTTGGCTGCTGTCTTGAGGTTTTTCTTCGTTGCCAATGTTTATTTTTCAGGGTAATTTTTTGGATCTTAACTGTATTGTGGTTTATCCCTCACGATGTCATAGGTGGATGGACTTTACTAAAACGCACGAAAATTCCGGCAAATCTTTCTGACCTTTCAACTAAGACCATGCAGATGGTTAGCAACTATATTGCTATTTCAAACTATACGGAAGACTATGTGTTCGTTTCGATCATGGGAATCCGAGAACTTCGACAAGCAATCAATTTTCATCAGCTTCGGTGGTATTGCTTCAAGAAACAACAGGACAGCGTTTTCCACGTCATGACAAAAAACGATTCCGCCGGCTATAAGGTACTTGAGTATTTCTTGGAAAATCCCAGCAAACCAGCTACAGCATGTGACTCTTTTGATACACTCCCGGATGATAATTCCACACTGTCCCACAACTGTGACAAGTGGGGGGCCTACAATGACACAGTCCTGGAGATGAACCAGTGGGGCTCTTATTCACACCATGGAACTAACAGGATTTACCGGCTTGTCGCTGAGTGGAAATCGGACATGAGAGCATTTTCCTTTCGTCCACCAGGACAATTTTGGTGCGATGACCATGGTGGCGTGAATTCTCTATCGCGAGGAGACAAATGGGAAGTTTATGCTCGGTAATTTGATTGAGCTGAGACTTTCTTTTATCGCCATTACCTTTGTTATGCTGTCATTTCTCATTGTTGTGCTAATGTTGCGTCCCTTTACATTCTTTTTTTTTTTTTTTGGAACTCGTGAGCCTTAAGTAAGAAACCCGGTAGTTTAGTGCCGAGGACTTCAGAAAGAGAGGACCGAGTATGGGCCCTGGAAGGGTCACTGTGCTGTTTTCTTAGGCGAGACACTTCAATCGTACAGCGTTTCGCTCAGCCGAAGAGTACCAGCGAATATTGCTGGGTTGCTATTTGCGACAGAATCGCATCCCGTTCATGAGAAATAGTGCTTCACGCTTTGAAAACCAGAATTAGGAATAGTAATAAGATTGACACACCAATTTTTGTCAGACTTGAAAACCAAAAGGAAATAAGACGACCACTTATTTTCATTTTCTCCTGAAGAGTATAACAAGGTCAAAATAGCCCGCAGGACAGACGTGATAGTCTTTTGCATTCTTTAAGTCCAAGGCAAGAGCGTGGCTGACGCGAAGTGTGAGTCGCCCGCGAGGGGAGGAGAACAAAAACGAAAAACTACCGGTATCTTGTTTGTCATTTTTTTGTGTACCCCACTCTCAACGCGTGACTCGCGCGTGTGCTCTCCTCGAGTTTGCCTGCGTACGCCTGAAAAACGGAAAAAAAAATTGCGCTTGTTTTGCGGCCTAAGGCCCAGATAGAATTAAACGGCGAAAAACTATTCTACTCGTTCAAGCCTTAATTGAGTGTGCTTTATTTTGATACACAACGCAATGGTGGAACTATTCAACTCTGGAAACAGAAACGACTGAACTCTAATAACAGTAAGGATTAGTAAACAGGAAGTTGTAGATTGAAACTCAATAATGGCGATTTAAATATTTTTTTGAACTCAAATTATGTTAAGGATTTTATGTTAGTATAAATCTCTGTTAAGTCTGCAATCCCAATAATAAACAGCATTCATAAAGGATTTTCAACTTTTTTTTGCAAATTTCGTCTTTCACTAAATTGCAACCACGTCGTTCGAATTAGTTTAATCAGGCTGTTTCGTATTTGCTCTCAAATCCTACTAAATATCAGAGAGCATGATGTATTTATCAATTCGTTAGTTTTTCTCATGACTTCTAACAAAACTGTTCAAATTTTGATTAGTATTTATTACATACACTCAGGAGTATCGCCAATCAACCCGGACCGCTCAATGATTTTTTACCTCCATGATACATACGATGCAATTACGACGAAAAACTTCGGGTGACAAAACTGCTTTAGGATCATCAAGGGGGTTCATTTTCATTTCATTCTAAGTAGCATAATTTCGTTCCCTGTTGGTTTTAATGTAAGAAATTTCAGGATAAGTTTAACAAATTCTACTGCGCAAATTGCTGATTTTCATGTCAATGTCACTGTAGATTCTGGATGGAAATGAATTGCACTGTCTTCTTGTCGGTTCCCTCACAATCTTGCAAACCTCTGCCAATGACGTAAATTGGTTTCGGTTCTGGCTGAATGTAAAGCGCTCTATTGGTAAAACAACATTTGCACAGCTTGTTTAGAATAAAACGAAAGCTCCGACGAAAATTATGGTTGAAAAACGAGTAAATCGCTGGGTTGAATGCGCTGTTGGAATACATCAGAAAAACTACCACGAACACGTAGGTGTCGCTACAAATGAGGTCGTTGCGATAATACGAACAGAATACCCAGCCGATCCAGTAGGGTAAAATACAACAGTAAAATACAAAAACTATCATGGCTACCATTTTGAGAACACGGACGTTGATTCGCGCGTTTGTACGGCTTCGGAATGACATCCGGATTCTGGGTCCTCTTTCTCCACGCCAGAGACGAATAATAATCGCAGCGTAAAGTCCGACCACAACAAGCAATATTAGCACGAGCAATGACAGGAAAAACAAATACCAAATTCGCCAGTTGATAAAAAAGTGTCGCGTTTTACAGAAAACGTTCTCATTGCTCACTAACAAATTTGCGTAATAAAACAGAGGGACACAATAAACAGCTGAACCAAACCAAGCGGTTGCAATAATAAAGCGAGCCTTTTTCGCTGTAATGATTCTCCTCCGGGGATAACAAACAGCCACAAACCGGTCTATAGCAATCATTGCCAGATGAATCACTGAAACGTTCATACAAAGCTTCTCCATGTAGTTGGTCGTCTTGCACAAGAATATTCCCCAGTTTCCATGGATAATCCATCGCTCGTTAACCAGAATTCTTGTGATTCGCTCTGGCGTGCTAGCCACTGTGAGAAGAAGGTCTCCGGCAGCCATGCTCACAATGAACGTATTATTGACCGTGCGGAGTTTTCCATCAATATTAAGCTTAAAGGCAAAGATAATCAATGTGTTACCGATGACAGACAGTGTAACAACCACACCATAAGCTAAACATTTAAAAGATTTCTCTATGGGCGAATCGCCTGCGTAGATATTCGGGGGCGAGGTTGTGTTTCCAGTGCCAAGATCATTCATTTCCCGCCACAATGAAGTCCTTCACTCTCATAGATTGACATTTCTTGTTCGCGTGCTTCTGTTGTTAACCACTTTCCCTCTCCTTTCACTAAGTAAAATGAAAAAGTAAAATGTTAAATGTATTTAACTGCTGATTCTCTGCTCTTAGTCATATTTCATCACAGATTTGGTACCACGATGGGTCTTCCAGCAACATCACACCACTTACCTGCAGAATTTGAATTTAGTAAAATATTTGCACAGAGGAAAACCTCTTATTCGATAGGCAAATTACACATTTAACATTCCGCCTCAGACAAACATTTATTATTAATACGCTTGGAAAATGGCCCAGAAATTAAGTAGATGTTATGAATAAAGGAAATCTCTGTGGGAAGCAGCATCTTTATAAAATTTCCTGTATTTGCTTTCGATCAGGTTAAAAGGGATCTGAACTCCAACCACGTTTTTCAAGGATTTCAATTACCGCGTGGATTTTGACTGTTAGGTTTGAAAAGTGACACCTGACAAAGACGAAAAAGGAAAACAGCGAATATTCAATTGTGTATTAATCACATTTGAGCGCATCGTCACTTTTCTGAAAGCAGATAGCGATTAAATTAATTAAATTGGTACCTTAATATGAAATCAAGACTTCTGCCATTTGCGCCGCAACGCATATCGAGAGAATATGTGTGATTCCCTTAAGAGATGTGGACAAATTTACCGGAAAAATAACCTGTCGAGTAGTTGTCTTCATTGTAATCTACACCTCGATTTCATCTTTCAACTGCAAGAGCTTGCAGGGGTAAAATTTAACAATATAATTTTTTTTTTAAATCAGTTGTTTCAATCACTCTGCTTAACTGATTCAAATCGCTGAAAACAATAATCCACATTGTGATAAAGAGATATAATCATTTCCCAAGAATTGAATGAAAACCTGCTGCTCCAGTCTATCTGAACAATGTCAGGGTTGAATGAGTATGATATGTTTGTGTTGTCAATGAGGAATGATTCAAAATTCTATCCGGCTTGATATCATATTGCTGTTCGCATCCCTTGCTATTGGCTTTAAAGGACGAATTGATATCAAGACAATAACCTTCCTTGTTGGTTTTCCTCACTCTCTATCTGAGGCTTCTATAGTGAACATATTAAAGCAAATGCTAATTCTTGGGTTTATGTCCCATTCTGATCAAAACAGGCTAAGAGGAGAGAGCCTTGTGGGTAAGAGTTGTTGGATCTTCGATCTTCGATTCTGGGTGTGATGCTGATTATAGACTGAGGGTTTTCCCGCCGAGAGTGTCAACGTCAGCGGTCTGATATCATTTAATTGTTTCAAATTTCGATTGTGTAATGACAAAAATAAAAAAAAAATGAGCTAACTTTTGCGAAATGTGTATGTCGTGCCACGAAAGTTGGCTAATTAATGCCAAGTTTGCCCACACCTCCTAGAACATTCATTCTAGATCTATCTAAGCTTGGATCAGATTGCACTTTGAGGGCCGGCTTACTCAAACCAAGGTTTGAAAACAGTCGGCCTCAGGCTTCCTCTATAAGTGGGTTGATTGAATCAAATAAATGTCCTTCCACTGTTTGCTTCCAGCCCACTTGACACTGCTCACAATAACAAATGTTCAGTTTCGTTAAAAAACGGCTAAACGTTGTTTAAATAATCAGACCTTACAGTCTAAGAGGACACATTTCCAAATTCATCCTGGATTTCTCTTCTTTCCAACCTTGCTTATTATTTGGCAAACACTTTGGCTTCTTGAGAAGAGGGCTTTGCAAACAATGAGAGCTAAGACATGAAAAACCCCCCATCTGCCTACACAGGATGACTTAGTACAATTAAATCATCATTAATTCGAACGTCGGATAAATCGTCTTCCGACCGTAATTTCAGCACGATGCTCTTCCTTAAGATAATATCAAGCCGTTTTCGTCGGTAGACCGACATCACGCAATGTTGCATGATAACGTTTTTCTGCCATTTTAACATATGAATACTGATATTCGGCTTCATTTAAACGTTCAGACCCAGAATTTGCGAAAAAAGAAAACATTTTGGCTTTCTCTGAGTGCTCTTTCAAAACACATGTTTCTCAATAATCATGAACCTGAAAAAATCTTTCTCCAGGTAAATGAATCAATGCTTTAACAACTTTCATCTATTGCACCGGAATAGGAAGACTTCCTAAGTCGGCCCTAAACATATATGCATGAATGTTTTTTAGAATCAAGTTCTTTTAGTTCTTGGCATGGGATTTCGCTTGATTTTCTACTGCTCCGGTTTCTCCCAATAAATTCATCTTGTGCCGTATCCGTACTCAAGTTCTTAGAACTAAAACAACATCTTCTGGACGTCTTCATGATAAATCGAAAACCAACTCTGAAGGTATCATTGAAAAAGGCATAAATGACCGGATTAACCGCACTATTTGCATACATGAGGAAAATTGCAACAAATACATAGGTATCATTACAAATGAGCTCACTGCGATGGTATGAACAAAACACCCAACCGACCCAATAAGGAAGAATACAGCAATAAAAGGCAATCACTATCATGGCCACCATTTTGAGAACACGCCTATTAACTCGCGCACTTACACGGCGTTTTATAGGGGTTTGCACGATCTCGGTCGTTTTCCCACACCAAAGTCGAATGATAATCGCCGCGTACAATGTTACTACAAACAACAGTGTTAATACAATCAGTGACAGGAAGAACAAATACCAAACTTTCCAATTATTGAAAAACTGTCGCGTTTTACAGTAAATTTTTCCGTGTTCCTCCAGTAAGTTGGCGTAATAAAACAAAGGGGCACAGTAAAGAGCGGATCCTAACCAAGCGATGGCAATGATAACACGGGCTCTTGTCGCTGTGATAATCTTCTTGTGGGGAAAGTACACAACTAGAAAGCGATCTATTGCAATCATCGCTAGATGTATCACTGAAACATTCATGAAAAGCTTTTCCAAATAATTACTCGTCTTGCACAGGAATACTCCCCAGTTCCCTTCAATAATCCACTGCTCATCAGCCAGAATTCTTGTGATTCGCTCTGGTGTACTTGCCACTGTGAGGAGCAAGTCTCCGGCAGCCATGCTCACAATGAACATATTATTAACAGTGCGAAGTTTCCTGTCGACATTGAGCTTGAAAGCTGCTATGACCAGAGAGTTACCAGTGACAGAAAAAACAACTATCAAGCTGTAAGCCAAGCATTTGAAAATTGCCGCTAATAATGAATCTTCTGGATAGACACTTGGCAATGTTGTATTTTTTGCACTTGAGTTATTGTCAATAACGCGATTTCTTGTGTCATTCAAAATTTCACCAACTTTTTCCATTGTGGCTTCCGGACGATCTCCCTTTGTAACTTCCACCGCGTTCTGCAATTGTTTTTTCCTCTCTTTCGCTAAATGTGAGATGTTTCTGTTAATCTTGGCAAACAAACCCGCTTTTTCAGCCTGACTATTTGACCGCTGGAGAACATCTAACTATTTATTTATTCTTCCGTAGGATCATTTGAATTTCAAATAATATCAATCGACCACGCAGTTAAATTAAAATCAACATTTTCGAATTTGTTTAACATCACGTACTGCAGCTAACATATACAGTTCGAGAGCCAAAAAGAGGCCATGTTAAGATATTCTAGAGGGACTCTTTGTTATCTCCCGTTTTCCCTTAGACACGGAACAGTGTGTCTTCTACTTTCGCTTTTTCCTTAGGCCGGAACTTTTGTGAAATGGTATCTGAAACAGTAACTGTGTGTTAAACTGCTCGTATCATTAGAGATGGTTTAATATCAATAATTTCCCGTGAGAGTAATACTTCGTTGTCACGAAAAATTTTTTTTTAAACTATTAATGGCCAAAATGCTCTTAAAATCCCTCCAAGTCTTCCTTTTTTTTTCACCGGTAAACTAAGAGGATCAAATTACGTTAGTGTGAATTGTGAAATAAATAATGATTGTCGTAATAATTTACCACGACATTCGTTTCTAGTCTATCCATTCTTTTTTCTGTAATATTTGCGCAAACCAAAGGTGGAAGAAATAAAGAAAAATTATGCAAATTAAGACTGATATATTGAAGAATCGAAAAGTCTCGTCTTGATAACATCTATTTCGTGAACCTTTTGAATTCAATTTGTCTTATATGCTAACAGTTTTTGGCAGGTGTTTCGATTTCCATTCTCCGCAAAAAAAATGATGCGATTAAATTCTGGTGCTCTAGTTGAGGCTGTGAATTCGCTCGCTTTTTCAAATAATTTTAAAACTAAATCTGATTTTCATAAGAATATGCGTTTGCAAGCCGACAATTTGTCTCATATACTTGAAGGAGAAAGCGAACGCCAAAGAGATCCCATTTCTCCTTCAGTGATTTAATTCACTCATCACTGCAGGGCTGACTAAGCGGGAAAACAAGAAACACAACGTCTCTTCGTCGAAGCTTTGTCTGATGCGACATCAACAAAGCTTTCATCAATCAAGTTTAAACTAAATGAATAGGGGCCTGGATTAAGTGAATCCAAAATACTTCAATTAAATTTTGCCCGACGGACGTCATTCAGAGGATGTCACGTCGTATTATGGAATAAGACAGAAAACGAAAACAACTGACTGGCTGAATAAAAATAAAGGTTATTGTCCCTTTTGAAAGTTTCGTGCAAAGATCGCGGGAGTTATGACGGTAACTTGTTATCGGTCCAGGACGTACGTCAAAATGAGTGCACCCAACAGAACCAATTTCAATTGATGCCGGTCCATCGATCATTCTCGATACCTAACCCGTGAAAATTCGTTTTCGAAGAAAGATCACTATATGAGTTCTGTACTCAGAGAAGCTCAGTATGATACAAATAACATGGATTAGACACCTGCTTGTTTCAAGGCGAACGATATTCTTTTTTTTTCCATTCGGTCTCTTACATGACGCAGAATTACCCTTCGAACGCAATGCATTACGCAACGTAGTAAGTTCAGTTTACTCAACACCTGATTTCAACCTGAAGGGTTTTTTTTAATTATTCCCCTCCGACGCTTTTTATTTTTAAGTTTAAAGTTTAGAGCTCAGAAAACCAGCTGGGAAAGTCGGATTCAGACATGTCGCCTTTCATATTCCTCCCTTTAACGTTTTGTCTTAAGAAATAAAACTCCTCATCAATCCAATCAACCAAATTTGAACAAAAACAACAAGATAAGGGTCTCGATGAGTTCTGTTTCTGACACAGTTTAACGACAAAAAAATGTAATTCAGAAATCTTTGCCTTGATATTGAAAGGTTTTTATTCTTTTTCCTTCAAACCCGGTTTCCTCTTTATTGGACTGTTTTTTGGAATGCGATCTCATTGAGGCAATACTTCATAGAGAGGCCGGAGGGTTCAATAAGGTGGCAGTTTCAAACAACAAATTAATTCGTTATCAAAACCAATAAAAAGAAATACTACAAGTTATGTATTATTTTTTGTATATATTTTTCCCTTGTGAAATGACAAGTCAAGGTTGCACCTTTCTGTCTAACGGTACTACAGTTATTTATATGAGTGTCATATCACTAGGAATTAAATATTTAAAAACCCATAATTATAAAGCAGAAGATAAGGATTTAAACTATCTATCCTGTTAATGGCAAAATCGAACAATAATACTGTAATTTGAGGTATTCTACATTCTTACTTTCTTTAGCCGGGCGTCTAAGCTTAGCCAAGTGGTGCAGCTGCAGGTTATTAAGCGTAAGCCTGAATACTGTAAATTTATCACATGAAAATGATTTTAAAGCAGTTACCTACCAGACGGGTTCAGCACAGCAAGCTATCAGCTTTCGTTCGCATAATATTACATACAATTCGTGACTTTCGCCATCGACATCGAACATATTTACTTCTTATGAATAAAAAGAGGGATGTTTTAGGGATACTGTGATGCTGCTTCGTATACAAGATAAGTTGGTTTTGTCAACTTACTGTGATAATGTAAATCGGCCACCGTAAAGAGTTCAGTTCCAAAACTGAAGTTTAAGCGTTGGTCCTTCGTCGGAGCGAAAACCCCACGCTCTTCGCACTGACGAAGGGCTAACGGTCGAAACGTCAGCTTTGGAAGTGAACTCTTTACGGTGGCCATTTACATATAAACTCAGTTGATTAAACCAAATTATAATTTACTTCTTAACCTAACTGACGAGTTTGTAATCATTCAAATGAAACGGCATTTAAGTCATGAGTTGATTGCAGGTTGACAATATCTAACCAGAAGAACAGGTATAACTTTTTTTTCTTTCGCTTCGCTCTCGCCTCTGCTTTAGATCTTCAGAACTGTGCTCAATAATCATGCCTAGTCTGAAGAACTTTTCCTACTGAAATTTTAGGCTTTCTTGTCTTTTCCTCGGCCAAATTCTCTTTTTCATTTCGTTACTTTTGTTTGGGTGCAGAAAGGAGTACATTTTCTATAGAAGGCATATGAAAGTGTAACTTCTGATCAAAAGTGCTATGAAAGTATAAGAAATTGGAACTTGTCGAGGGAGTCACTACTTTGTTAATTGAACCCTCCTACCCTCCCCTCCCCTCCCCCACCCCTCTCTTCTCCCTTTCTGAGTCTCATACCATTTATTTATTCGTATTTTAGGCGACTTAGAGAGTCGTTGCTTTACGGAAATTAACGAAAATTTACCATTATCAGGAATACCAAATTGTCATGTATAGTGGGGAATGATGAGACGAATGGAACAGGGGTGGGGAGGTAGCCGTTTGCAGGAAGAATTAAGCGTGGCTGCACAGCTTCGCCTCGCTTTCATGTTAGTAAATATGGCGGAACGAAAGGAGAAGTCTATACCATGGGTAGAATGATAATACTGAATGCTACATGGCAGCGGCGATTGATACAAATGCTGGTGTAGAGCGTGAAGAACAAGAGCAAGATGTTCTCCAGGGCGCTGAGCCTGGAGCTGGGTAAGAAATGTATATTTTTCCAATACACAGACCTCATTTTGAAAGGATTTGATTTGAAGATACGATTTGCTCGGTATGTACAAATTATGATTTATTAAAGAACGTGGTCGATTTCTTTTGATTTAAACTGTAATTTTCGTCAGACAAAGTGTAAAGTCGCGTAGAATTGTCGTAAAATTAACGAATATTTTTCAAAGAGCGGTAAGGTTAGCTTGAAATCTATGGGTATTTCGTGTTTTAAAATTTGTATCGCTCACTGTTTTAGGAGAGAGGATGTGAAAGTAACTTTAGGTCTCGGGAATACATTTGGTATGCCCTTCTAAAATATGGTGATCTCAATAGTAAAGAGCCCATTATGTTGTCGTGGATTGTATGTGTTTCCGATTTGACCATTTCTTTCTTTTGCAGCTCAGTAGGTCAAGAACCACTCTTCTATGTCCAACCTGACGAGGAACTTGATGTTTCTGTGGATGAAATCTGTACAGATCCTGAATCCAGAACATCTACCCACTCTGATGCTAGCCTAGCTCCAGGGCTCATCTCCAGTTTAAGTAGTCACGGATCCCCTGAGGCAGCAAACAGCAGCTCCCCCAAAATTGATGTTGTTGATGAAGATGAAAACTTCAATGAGACCCTTTTTCCTGGGCAAGCAGATATGCCAGGCGAGGCTGATGGTTCAGTTGATGAGAAAATTGCTTCGTTAAGTGTTCAAGATGAACAAGAAGGTAAAAGAAAACCAGTGCCTTGAACTTGTCCATCAAGGATTTTGCATTATGTTGGTGATGATGCAAAAATTATTGTGTGCGAATTTCTCATCTCAAGTAATGTCCAATCGCATATTATTCCATGAGAAATTTCCTAGTGCTAAATTCATTATAAACTGGAACAAATCCACAAACTAAAATGATAAAATAAATGTAATTTCCACAACAACATCATGCAGAACATGTGAAAATTTCTCACAATTGTTGTTGTTCTCATAATAATGAGTTCTATTCTTAAATGGTCTTCAAAAATCTCATCATTTTTCACTTCACAGTCTTGTTTTTTTCCTGAAGTCATTTGTCATTTTGTTTTTGGCAGAGGCTCGAAAAACAAGAGCTGCAAGTGTACTAGAAATCGGAAGAGAAGCATCAGTGGAAGGTTGGTTTTGTGCTTATGGATTCTTTGTTCTATTTGTTCTATTAATAAATTTTCCCAGAAAAATTAAACACAATGAGCAGCTATACTGTTAAGATTGCATCATGTATGCAACTGTATGACTTGAGACAATAGTTGGTATGTATATATGATTGAAGTGTAAAACGACTTGTTTTATGTTTTTCTATGTTAAAGATGTGAACGACCCTCAATGGACGTTGCACAAAAAGCATGTGTTTGCTTTCAGTGAGGCTGGAAAGCCAATTTACTCAAGGTGAAAGTTTTTTTTTATTACTGGTATTATAATCAATTTTCATATAAGCATTTCATTTGAGAGATTTGTTCGACAAATTAAAGTGAAAGTTGTGCATATTAAAAAGTTGCTGATTGATAAGTAAGGCTTGGGAAAGTGCTCAAGAAAATGCTTCCACTTTACATGGCTTGAACAGGACACACTACAGCTATCTACTGCACTGTCCAGGTATCACCAGGCACTGTTCTATGTTGTATGCATACTGATCAAATGGGAGGAGATACAAACCCAAATCCCTACCACAACTAACCCCTCCTCAAGGTTCAACTCCCTGGCTGTGCTTGAACACTATTTATAAATGCAATTTCTATTTTCCATTCATTCAGATATTCAGAATCAATTAAAGCCATGTTTATGTTTTATAAAGTACAGCTGATTTCACTGCATGAACATTCAAAGGGATTCCTTACAACTGCACATCTTAAAGCTGCTTTAAATACAGTAGAGCTGACCCATTTGAAACTCTGAATATGATCCATTAGCCAGCTCTGGCTTCAGTTTAACTTTTCCTCAACTTCAGTAGAGGATTTGTTTTTTATGTACATTTAACATTTAACTTTTACTATCAGTCATAATGACCAATTTTGTTTGATTAAATGTAGATATGGAAGTGAGGACAAACTGGCAACCCTGATGGGTGTTATGCAAGCCTTAGTTTCTTTTGTCCAGGTTGGCAAAAATACAATAAGGTAAGAGGAGAAGGTCATGCCCTTACAGTTTGTTCTTACCAGATGTAACACACCAAGAGAAGCCTGTTTTTCCTCATTGTAGCCTACATCCCATTTACACTAGCAAAATGTCTTTTTTAAACTGTATTTAACTGAATGAAAATCAAAATCAAGGAAGTGAAGAACTGAGATGTTCAAAGTTGTCAGGTAGTCAGTATTTTCAATGCACTTAATTTGAAGTCAATAAACATAGGTTTACAAAGCAGCTTTGAAACATGTCTTTGAAAACTTTGAAGTAAGTTGAGAAGGAAGTACTTCTTGTGATCCACTATAGTCATAGTTGGACCTCATGCCAAGATATCACAGTAAAATGCACAGACTGTAAGCCTGTGCATTTTACTGTTGCCCAGGTCCCACTACCCCTTTTTTCTTTGAAATATAGCTACATGACATTGTGCGCATACATCTGCACCATAGAAATACGCTTTGTTAATAAAAATTTATCTCATATTTGTTGATAAATTTAATCTTTATGTGTCTTTATTATTCCAGGTGTATTATGGCGGGTGACCATAAATTTGTATTCTTAGTTAGAGGACATGTTATTTTAGTGGCTGTGGCTTACACACCAGAGTCTGTTACTCAGGTATCACATTTATTTCATGAGAGAATTACTTCCGCAAATTTGTTATGATGTCTTTAAAACAAATGACCTAAAGTGGGTTTGATTTTATTGTTTGTACGTCATTGTTATCATTATCATTATTATTATTATTATTATTATTCCTTCTTTACTGTTATTGATAAACTGCATTGAACTTATACACTGTATGTTGTAGTTTAGAATGATTCTAATTGAAGTGGTCTCAAACTACAGTAGAACCCTAGCTAGCCCAAACTCAGTTAACTCTGACCCCCTGGTAACTGAAACAAGATCCAATTTTCCTTGGGCCCCATTTTTTCAGTAATTTAATATCAACTAACTCAAACCCTGGCTAACTCAAACCATTTTTTGTTTCCTTCAGGAGGTTGGGTAATTCTACCATAGTTTAAAATCATTTGGACCTTAAATTCATTTTATGCTATAGCACATACCTGAGTCCTTTTTGACTGAACCCTTCTGAAGAGAAGCACTATGGCAAAAAGTATGATCTTTTGTAGCTATTTCATTGTCAGGATAGACTGTTATTTTCTCAACATATTCACCCCAAAATTCAACCTGAAATAGCTTTAGTGTTTCCTTTACTTCAGACCCACTGACTGAAGATAAATATAAATAACTTTTGATATCAGTTTTCTTTTTCCTAGTTGGTGCTGCAGCTCTCCTATGTTTATAATCAAATCCTTAGTGTTTTAACGTATACTCAATTAGCAAGAATTATGGAACAGAGGAGAAATTATGATCTTAGAAGACTATTGGCCGGTAAGATATGACAGATGCACATGTTCACATACAAACATGTCATTATGAACTGAAGATCAAAGGTTCTTTTCACAAGGTGTAATTTTTTAATGAAACTTGCTTGTTAGAAACTGCTTGAAAATTCACCTGTATTTTAATGGTTAACTGAAGTCAGTACCTTAATTGCTTGCTGTTTCCAGATTTAGTTCTGAGATGACTATGTCCAAGAAATTTGCACTTTCTTATCAAAGTTTCCATAAACTTAATCACAAAACTGTGTGAAAAGTCATAAATTGTTAAACATCATCAAAGTGCTAATGTGCAAGTCTTGATTACCAAGCCTTAATCAGTAGAAAACAGACAGCTGATTAATTCCAAAACTCATTTTCATTTATCTACTATATTATATTTACAGGGACAGAAAAATTTATAGATAATTTATTGAATTTAATGGATCACGAACCAAGCTTTCTGCTAGGCTCTGTGAGTATGATGTAATTTACTGTTGTAAGATTCGACTTATCATGAATATAGAAGCAATCCTCGTAGTTATGATCACTACTAAAGTAGTAGTGAAAATAAGGCCTGAAAAAAATTGAGGCCCATAAAAAGGATTTAAACCTATGACCTCTGCGATACCAGTGCAGTGCTGTGGTATTGCAGATAACAGCTCCTAGTTGTCTTGTTAGCTCAGTTGGTTGAGGGCTGCTCCAGTATCGCAGGGTCATGGGTTAAAATCCTGTACAAGCCTGAATTTTTTTCAGGCATTATTTTCACTGCTACTTAAGTAGTGTTAGTAACTGCAAGGATCCCTTCCATATTTGTTTCTTCAACTGCAGTTTACATATATGATTTTTAGAAGTAGGGTATACATCTTTGAGGCTGTTGTGGGATAAGGTGATATTAGCTCAAGAGGAAACTCATTTTTTAAATCTGAGTTTTATGCCTTGACAGAGATATGTTGTAGATATGTTGAGGATTTTTTGTGAAGTTTGGAATTTTTTATTAAGTATGGAATCTGAAAGCTTTCTAGACCTGGAGAAAGAATGGAAAAAGAGATGAAGTCTGGGAAAAATTCAAGTAGTTGAGAATTTTTTTTTTTTTTTCAGTTTACCAAAAAATTGCTAATTACTGGGTGAAATGCTGGCCTGCAATTTTTATTTCATGCACAGCATTGTCTATGAAAATTCATTTTCAGTAGAATTAAGAGAGTTTCCATAGTCCTTGGCTGTGTTTTTGCCAGTTGGTATTAAGTGTTTGCAAATATACTGCATCCTTGTTATCATTTCGTGCATTGAAGAAGAAAATTATTGTTCTGAAAGTTAAGTGTGGAAAAAGTGAAAGACTTTTGCGTACTAAAACCTGTGTAAAACCTGTACAATTGAGTTCCTTGCATTTAACTTTAATTGCTGGGGCTTTTAGGTGAGATGTTTACCTCTTCCAAGTTCTGTCAGGGAAACCATTGGTCAGAGCATGCTTCAAGCAAGAGTCAAGGTACTAACAACAACGATAGTCACTGAGTAGAGCAATTTTTAAACGATTCGACTGGCGAAAGTTACCCGGCATTGCTTTGGTTTTACTTTATTATTTCCAGGAGTTAGTTTAGAAATCTCGCGCCGCCCCCTCAAGAAGTCAGATGATGAACTAGAATAGTTTTCAATTGATTGCCGAAAGTAATTTATGCTTTCTTTGGTGTTACTGTACTTCGCTTTTCGATTGGTCCAAAAATACTCGCGCCACCTTCTCAGCCAATCAGATTTAAAACTAATATCAATCACGATTTGGTCCCTCGCGTTGTCCCATGATTTTTTCCTAAAGTTTGGTTTTTCTAAACTTAAGTGAAAACTGCTCTAAAACCCATTACAACTTGGTCACTCACGTTTTCCTGCGCTTCAGGCCGTTCAGTGCTTTCAATAAGATTTGAAGTAAGTGGCTACTTCGGTAAAGCACTCGCTGAAGAACAAAATGGAAAGCAATTTCCCTCTCGTTAGCCTATTAGTTCCAATCAGAATAAAGTGGCATCAAGTTGGAGTTTTTGGTGTCAAACTTCGGTAAATAGCCATTAAATTTTAGTTTTTTTTTTTAAACAATTGTTTGACTGATCGTTTATTTCTGATCAAAATCTTCAATCTGCTAACATGCAAACCTGCTCCCTGAGTTTCATACAAAAGTCCTCTGAAAGGAAATACGGTTACCTGAATTTGAGTCCGTATGTTCTTGGAACTCAAAACTTTTTCCTCTGGAAATGTCGTGTATGATAAGAGGCCGTTAAATATTTTTCATTTGATGTTTCTGTTGCCTAGTCATATTTTTCCTCTCTTGGTGACTGCAACGGATTAATTTGCATTAGGTGTCAGACTACTCAACTGAGAAGCCTTCCGTGACACGCATTCGTAGCTTGGGGTATCGTTTAGATTCCTTTAAAGAGAAATCATCAGCCGTAAGCGTATACAGTTCATAAGAGATGTTGAGTGGGGAGTAGGGTAGGGAGAATTGTCTGGGGAGGGTTAGGGGTATCATGGGTGCTTTGACGATCGTTTTCTGGCGCCCGTGTAAACCCCAGGTAGAAGAGAATCTTTGCAAGAGTTCAGTCCCTGACCCAAGTTTAAAGAATATAACACTATGACCCATACTGTTCGGTCATAAAGCAATGGTTCTGAGTCCAGGGTTCATCATTATGCAGCGTCTGCTCTGCATTACATGTTACCAGTGGAAGCCATAATGTCTTGCTGTCTCTGCTTTCTACTCAGGACCTCGTATTTGCCATTTTGGTCGCTAACAATCAGTTAATTACCTTGATCAGACCCAAGAAGTACAGTTTGCATCCTTCAGGTGAGTTTTTTGTCTTTCCTATTTAGCATCTCTTATTCAATGAGCGCTCGTGGAAGATAAAAACGGCCAAAACTAGAGGAACTAGAGAGATATTTACAATGATATTCGTCAATGATAACAGTCTGTGGTTCATATTTCACCTCACTGTGGTCATCATTAGCGTTTTAGGGTCTTCATTCTTTCGCGCTGTGTTCTCGTACAATCTGTGTTACCTAGCACCAAAATTGGGAAACTTTCCTTTCCGGCTTTTGAGCTAGATTATTTGCAGTCCTACTTTCCCAGCTTGTTGCCCTGAGCAAGGGAAAAGAAATCAGCGATTAGAAATCAGCTGATAAGCTTTTTGGTCGCGCAATGGAAGCTAGGAGAGAGGTAATGCTTCGTAGTTTATGCTCCCTCAGTTTCTGAAGATGCTTTTTATTTGTCCTCTCCAGATCTTCATCTTATCTTCAACCTCGTCAGTGCATCCACTTCTTTTCAAACTGCGGAGTCCTGGACACCGATTTGTTTGCCACGATTTGATAACAGGTAAAACTCACACATAATGAAATATATCAAAAAGAGGTCGTGAGCATGGATTCGACAAGAAGAGGGATTCAATCCCTTCGGTCTTCCGTTATTCAGTTGAATGCCTCAATCAGTGATTACAAAGGCTGGTCTTTTGCTCAATCTTATTCGCTCTTTGATTGATTTAAAAAAACTTGCAGAAACCTCTCGACCGACCAGATGGAGAAGTAAAACTAATCGTGGCTTGATTACTCGCGCTTTCCCATGCTGCGCTTCGGGCCGTCTCCATGTTTTCAACTACTCTTTGTGACTCAAATCTCTTTTTCTGATTGACTCTTGTTAGTGTTGTGATTTTTTTTAAACGACCCTCCACCGGAAAGCACTCTCTAACGATTTGGGAAAATTTTTTAACGGGTGTCGAAGTTAGGGAAAAAAAAAATTCAAATTCGGCCATAGTGAGCAAGGCACCAAGGTGGAAGATACTCAAATGTCAGAACCAAATGGATGTTTCATGTTTCGTTGTTTATTATGTTTTCGATGTTGTTGTTTTCAGTGGCTATCTGTACGCGCACATCTCCTATCTGGATGACAACTGCCCTGCCTGTTTATTGTTACTTTCCACTGATCGTGACGCCTTCTTTGAGTTAGCAGAAACCAGACTTAAAACTGTTGAGGTGAGCTGCATTTCTGTAAGGAATTGGATGTTTACCTCGTCCAGTCAGTTCTTAGTCAGTTCTTGTTACAGATAAGAGAAAGACTCAGATTCGTGCGGAATGCCGCCATATTTTGGGTGGTTTCGGTGAACAGGGATGTTATCATACCTTGTGGGGTTTAACTGTCATTACTAACATTAGTATTGATACTTTCCACACTGAGAATCTGTTTGACAATCAGGAGCTTCTTGAAATGGCGATTATTTCTTTTATTTTCATGACCTTTACATCTGTCTCAAGGGTGATACTATTAGGAGAAAGTAGAAGCCACTCTCATTGGTTTAAGGTTTAACCTTGTTTTAAACTTTTAGCGCTTGAAGAGGTACAGATGTTTAGAGGCTATTAATGAAGCAGTGGCGAAAAAGAGTTATAGCACAGGTTTGATTCACAGAATTAACAGCTCGTTTTTATGTTTTTGGTTTCATACTGTTACTTTCGTTTAACTCTGTGCTCGTATCCCTTCTGTTACAGATCAGGTTGGCATCCCAGAGCTGTATCATTTTATTTACAAGTCTAAAAGTACGGCGCAGTATACATCACCTGAACTGGAAGCTCCTTATGTTGAACCAGAAGAACAGGAAAGGTATTTTGGTTCTTAAGTTTTAACGAAACTAAATAGTTCAGTAGGCTAAGAACTCCAAACTCCATTTTGGAGTAGAACCGAATGCATGACTCACAAGTCAGAGGTTTAGACGTGTAAATTGACTTCACGTGAAGAATTTGCTTGGAGGTTCGTGCGAACTTCTGGGAACGCCTGGTACATTTCAACTAACTAGTTCCCAGTTTTACGGGTCCTACGAAATAACATGGCATCCACGATAACTTGACCGCCTACATATCTCATTTGCCTTCTACTTACATACTAATCAATAATGATTTTTTTTTTCATTGAATATCTGTATTCGTTTCCAGGCTCTTTGGTTTATATCTTTACCTGCATCATCGGATTCACTCGCCAGCCAGGCCTCTGAAAATTTTATGTCACGTGGGCGTACGAGAGATGCTGTTAGGATGGGTGTGTATTGATAGGAGTAAATGGAAGATTCTTGTCTGCTAAGTCATAGCATTAGTTCGAGGCTGGAGGAATATACCGGAAGGTTACCTTATAAACAAATTATTCTTTGAACTGAAGCAAACCTTCAGAAACGAAAAAAAAGTCTCCATATCAATGTCCGCCCATGGGATAGATGGTCAGAAACATGGCAACGATACTTTGACAAAGCCACGATAAATTTTGAAATGAGATATGATTTTGGAATGAATCTCGATTTTCGCTGCATGCTGATCTGGATTGTTGTTAGATATTTTCATGTCACCGATACTGTGACAAGTCCACGATAAATTGTGAAATGAAACAAAATTTTGCAGTGAATCTTGATTTTCGCAGCTTGTTGATCTGGATTGTTGTTAGATATTTTCTATCATGTCATTGTGCTTTCGAGTAGACTGCTGAATGTAGACAAACTTTTGCGGTAGAAATAGCTCATATGCTGATATGATGTCCTTCCTTCCGCTGAGAAACAAACTACAATTTTACCTAGAAAATCATAACAACGCTATAATTTCCACAAAGCTTTGGCTGTGGATCAGTTGATAATGAAGGGCTTTTAAACAATTTGTTTTCTTCAGCGAGTGTACTTCTAAAAAAGCGCAAAAAAGTTTTAAACCACATCAAATGGCATTAAGGGGAAACCTGTGATTGTGAAATTTTCGTTAGACGTCATAATTCCCTCGACAATTCTAAATCTATAGCCAATTTTATTCCTTTACAATTCTTTGTTTAAAAACTAGAATTACAGTTTTAGGACAATGGTGCTTCTTTATACAAACTTGTCACATTTCTCCAGTTAATTGCCAAAGAAAAACTTGATAGTGTAAATGCTGGTTTTGCTGAAAAGTAACAGTTACCACTTTTAACAGCTCTGGACCACTCAAGCTTGAAAGTTAAAAAAGTTAAATACCAAAGAAAGCCTTGACAGTGTAAATGTTGGTTTTGCTGTGAAGTAGCAGCTACTACTTTTAAAAGCTCTCAACCACTCAAGCCGGCAAGCTAAAAAATCGCACCTTCTCTTGATAGGTAACATCTGGGTTTGAGTTGTACGCTGCCTTCAGTCCACTGGTCACAAAACCAGACGCTATCATTGCCATAAACAAACTTCTGAGATGGATAAAGGTTTGTTGCTTGTGGTCTTTCTCTCTTTACCTCTTATTTCTTCTTCTGTGTGAAGGCTCATTTACACGTGTGCGTTCATCTTCGTTTTCTTTTCTTGGGAGGTACAGGGTTGGAATGTCAAGCCGATCATTTGCGTTCTGGCGGTTAGGCACGACGCTTATCTGCTATGGACTAAGTATCCCATCTGTCACAAGTAGCAATATTACCAGTTAATTCAGCCCACAGAAATCGTGATAAGCTCCGGAAATGTGGGATAGAATGTAACAATTTAGCTAAAAGGTTTATCCAAGTGTTGATTTTTTGATCAGGGTTAAGAGGGCTTCTAGCTAACACTGAAAAAGAACATTTACTTCAGTCAACCTACCAATTAGGAAATCTCGTGGTATTAAATGGCTAAAACTTAGGTGTCTGTCAGACTTTTGAAATAACTGGCCCACACTGGACCACACTGTACCAATTCTCTGTGAGCTTGATAACCAATCTTCTTTAGTAAAACCGCCACCACTTTGACGGCTGAGCAAAGAGATGATACAGGTGTTTATTGTTCTTTCAACCAGCGTTAAAAGTATTGAAACGATAAAGTTTTGTTGAAGACGTTTCTCTTTTTTCCGATGTAGTAATCTTTTTCTTTTTTCTGTTACTCAGCGCGAGGAAGACAGGCTCTTTATTCTGAGCTCTCAAGTGTTCTAAAGGTCTCACCTCTGGAATAAGGCAGAATTTCTGGAATACTACTTTTATCGCTCTGACTCGTGGTGCCCGGACTCAAAGAATGCTGCTCTTCAAGCCCTTCAGGGAAAGACCGATGAGAGGCCGCAAAAAGATATTGCTTTGGGTCGAATGAAAGAAATACCCTTATTCTATCATGTTTCAGTAGCATGATATTTTCACCGCGCGCCGTGAAGATACCATTTTCGTCACGGTTACCGGGATTATCAACATTGTGACTTTATTTGTCACGCACAGTTGAATTAACGATTCTTTTTCTCTTTTCATGAAGATAACTTGTTTTTTTTCTTTTGTCGGAATGTGAAGAAGCATTTCAGCAAGCGGATCGTACGTGTGGGTGATCTCTACATTTCGTGCATTCCCGTGTTCTGAAATTGTTTATCAATAATAATCAGAAGATTGCATGTCCGCTTGCTGATACGAATTTACCTTCTTGTGTCAATTATACCCCTCACGAGTGGGCGATGCGAGCGAGTGATAGATATAACCAGCACTCGTGTTTTCAACATTGTTAATTTGAGATTATTTTTGAACAGAAATATCTTACCAAATGGGAAACATTAGGTGTAAATAGCTTAAACTCTGTTTTTACACTATTTCGACCGGCGTCGTAGATCCAGAGAATTTAACACTCACTAGTTGCGTTCAAAACCTTTCAACCTGTTATCAATAAAGATAACAAACTTTGCTGATTAGGTTCAAGCCGTTGATGAAGAAAAAATTGTATAAGCAAAGGCGACTAAAAAAGGAAGAAACCAGAGCTATTGAAAATTCTTGTACATCTGAAAAACAATTAAAATATGACAGAAGTAAAAAAAAAAAGAAATCGTTTACTGTTCTAGATACCCTCTCTTCTCGATTTTCACTGAATGTCTGATCTCTAAAGGATGGCTTGCTGTTACTCTTCTTTCTTGCGAGACTTCAAAAAAGCAACACTCCATTGAAAAAGACTTGTTTATTCTTTTTTACAACGTCGCAAAGAAACAGAGATAGGAAAAGTGACAACAGTCTGTTAACGGAGCGCTCCAGCGTTGTTTTTCGCGGATGAGGCAGGAAACTTTTTTGTGGATGGCTCATTGTTCTTCAGGGTAGAGCCTCACATAGGTCACTTGATCATGTATGATTACAACGAGGAAAAAATGGGTTTCACCGTACCCGTAAAGTGAATTCTGAATGATGTACGTAATTTGTATTGTTAGTGAAAATAATTCTCCATTGAACAAGCCTAACTGCATTTATAAATAGTAACAAAGATCCTAGTACAACCATATGGAAAGAAAGGGCTGACATTCGTCACGAGATCGTGTTAAATAAAGATCCTCCCCTCCCCCACATACAAAATTCGTCTTGCTTGTATCAGACCCCGTGTGCCTTTCTACAGGCAAAACTCTTCGTGGAGCCACAGGGGTGTTATGAAGAAAACGTTGCTCCATGCCTGCCTATTCGGCTAGATTCGCTTGTGACGTTCGTAGGGTAAGAGAGTGTTCCAGCTAACTTACATGAAAAATGTTGACATGAACTAGAACGAATTTTATCCAAGGATCAGATGTTATCAACAGATGATAAGAAGGAATTTTTTTTAAATATGGAATTTATGCAATAGTATAATGATGAATCTGAAAGTAACGCGTTGAACTTCTCCTCCCCGGAAGAGAATATAAACTGCAGTTTATATTCCCTTGCTGACACGGCAACCGGTCAAGTCGCCTGAGAGTCATCTCGCCCGAAGTTATGTCCTCCGAAACCTGAGTCATGTTGACTTTGACTACACAGAAATCGATCGTATGCTCGGAATTGAAATATGTTTGAGTAACGATCCTAAAAGCGTTGTTCGTTTCTAACAACAAAGGGAAGCGTTCTCCGTTTCTGACAAAAAATAAAGCGTTGTTCGTTTGGTATGTACTCGTTTCTTACTCACGGACATTTCGTAAGCTTGGGCAACTCTTTCTTGTGTCTTAAAATGCTATGAAGACTTTGGCTACACAGAAATCGATTGTATAGTCAGAATTGAAATATGTTTGAGTAACGACTCTAAAAGCGTTGTTCGTTTCTAACAACAGAGGGAAGCGTTGTTCGTTTCTATAACAGTGCATGGATGCAGCGTAACATACAAGTAAAGTTCTGTTGTGTCTATTTGTGACTTTCTTAACAATAACAGATGTAAACACCTGATAAACGAATGTCGATTGTCGCGTTCAATAAGTCGGTAAAAGGTAAAGCGATTAACATACAAATAGAATTAATTTGTTGCCTTGCGTAAGGTAAATGAGATGTTTTTAAGATAACAGTCTATTGTTTATGCTTGTGACTTTTTTCACAGTAGTAGTCTGATAGCATCATTTCCCTTAGGATCAGAATAGGAAAATATTATGTAGTTGTGCTCTGTTTCCTCTAGCGGTCGCATGTATATTTTGATCCGATCAAAGTATATATGAAGAGGGTAAAGCTAGCTACAATACGAATACGAACTGATCAAAATGAGCATTCATCCTCAGTTGCATTGAGTGTGATGATGAAGTTAGACAACGTCAACAAGCCCTACAGTGCGGCCTTTCTGACCATATGATCGATTTCTGTATAGTCAAAGTATTCATGTATGTGTTTACGAACGTTCAATCGAAGTTTTCCTCTCTCTCTCTCTTTTATTATTTTTTTATTATTTTTGTATGAAAATGAGGCCCCAGGCCTCGAACAAGTCGTTGTTACCATGGCAACAAGAGTGCTGCAAACTTTAAAAAGCGCATTTTTGTGTATCCCCCCTGAGTGCCTAACTGTATGCAAAATTTGAAGGGGGTTTGAAAATTTTTATTTCCTAAGATGTTTGATTCTTACAGAGACTTGTTCTTAATAGTAAAAATTATGTTGTTGATCCCCTGTTTTTTAACCCTTTAATTCCCAAGGTATCATATCAATTTAGAGAATTTGGTATTAGATCAACTAATAATCCCCTAATTGACATTTTACTGTATTCTCATCACTTCTATGCATGATATTGTATTGATATTGTGAGGAGAAATTCTCTTTTGGTCACTCATGGGAGTTCGTTTGTTTCACTGCAAGGAGCGTGAAGGATGGGAGAGTCGGTGAAAGAGATTAAGTTGGTGAGCGGTGATAGACTAAGTATTCAAACCAATACGATTGTTGACGGGCATGCGCGAGAGGACCAGTTCTTGTCGACCGTGCGCTAGTTTCCCGTGCGTTGAGAATTCGCTTCTTCTCCAGCTCGGAGAGATACACTGTTTAAAGGACCATTGAGTGACATCTCACACCCTGTTTAAGACTCGATCTCCGGAAAACACAGCCTATTGGCTGAATACACATGCTGCAGTGCTTTTCGATGTATCCGCAGCCATCGCACGCAACAAGCTTTCAACTCAAATACATGTCAAATCGTACCGTCGAAATTTCGAGGGGAAATGTCGTGCCCATAGTGATTTTTTTTTCATTTTTTCCGCAAATTTGCAAGGCTCACGCTGCATGCGAACATTTGAGGTTGTATGCGATAGTTAAGAGCAAAATCATACGACACCCAAGTAGGCTTTAAAAACAAAGGAAAGGTCAAAAAGAACTAAACATATTTCATCGACAAGTAACAAAAACAACCTTTTTGTAACCTCTTCGCACTCAATTTCTCATCTAAAAAATGTAATTGATCACATGAAAAATCGATGTAAACTGTCCTAAAGTGGGTAGATCAAGTCGAATTTTTCAACACGCCGATGATGTCTGAGAAAACGAGGAGAAAAACTTAGTCTAGCCATAACAGAGGGAAATCTTAACTTTCTGCTCCTAAATCATTAAAATTCGTCTTATGATGTAAACCACTGAGATTACAAGCGGGACGAGAAAGTTGCCCCCAATCTTGACATAGTTAGGAAGGGGGGTGGGGTAACTGAAACTTCATACTCCCTCCCTTAGGTCAAATTAAAATGTTTTTGTAGAGACGTACCACTAAATAACTGACCAGGAGCGAAGGAACCAATTTAGAAATGAAGGGGGGTACACTGGTGGGTCAGGAACACATTTCAAATCCATTTGGCGCATTTTGGAGCACTGATTGGAGAAAAAAAATTTTCACTACCAACCAACCTTGAGAGTTGTTAATTTTTTTTGTTTTCTGTTTTTTTGTTTTTTCTGGTTATTTCTATTGTTAAAGTTTCAGGTCAGGCATTTGTGTTCATCCTTTTCGCCAAAAAAGTGCGTAAGGGCGCGCGCTATTCAAAGTGATCAGATATGAGCCATGAAGGTTGCCAGAAATTTTCTTCATTTTGTTATTGACTTGCCCCTCCCTTCCAACAAAATGTCAAACGACTTGCCTCATTTTTGACATTCAAATGCTTCTTTTTTGTACTTACGGAATAGGCAAACAACTAAATAGGAGTGACTAAATATATCACTAGGTTTCAGCTTTCTCGCACATTCTGAGCTTCTATCCATGCTTTGCATGATAAACAATCGTGAAAATGGCAGTAACAACAAAAGATTGAAACAAAACTCTTTTTAACCTCTCGTTTTACTATTGTGCGATTACTTTTAACAGCATATCTAAAATGCACCGTGATGCTTAAACAATAAGCACAATTTATGGCATTCAAACGTAAAAGAAAAATCTGTTGAAATATTGTTAAAAACAAAATTATATCCGGGCCATAAAAGTAAAAATCTGTCAATTTTAGTCCCGGAAAACAATGTTTCTGATACAGAGAAAAAACTTTGATAAGCAATGACCAGGTAAAAATCCACAAAAATGTTTATCACATTCTCCATTTGACATAAACTAAGATATTCGAGTAATCAGACTATTGATTATTCTCAAAGATCTATGGATATGTTTCTAATAGCTTTATATCCTTCATCAGGAAAAAACCGATCCAGAGAAAAATCTGTACAAAAAATATTTGGAAATCATCTTAAAGACGTCTCCACTTTGACGTTAATGTGACGCCCAAAATCTTGTCTATAGTTAACAGTTTCATTCATGTTTGACTAAAAAAATGTAACTTACTTGAAATATAAATTACATGAGTATCAGTTTGAGTAAGATATCAAGGATCAAAACACTTGAAAGTCCTTTTCCTTTAGAGTGTCCAAAATCCGTCAAGCTCGTAAGAACAGTTGAGACAGGCGAAAAGTCAAGTTTTGAAACAATAGAGATCGTTAGGGACTCTCGTTAACTTTGGCCATCTTTTGATCCTCCCTGCTTTAAAGAGAAGACTCTTGACAAAGATTTCATCGGTAGCTTACTGGTTTCTGGTCCAAAATCACCGTTGACTTCCGCGGGCTTGGTCCTTGACCTGATACAATTCCAATGTTCACTGCCTCAGCTGAAAAATAGGAGTTAAAATTCAAGAAGGATCGTTGAGTTGCCATAGGATGTTTCCCTTGGCTATGCAAAATAAAATCTATCTTTTTTTTCGTTCATATCATGGTTCTCATGGTAAATGTGTTGCAGCGATTGCATTGCACCTCAGTTTACTCGAGCAACGAAAAATTCCTAATTCGATTGAAAGCAAAATAAAATAAAACAACTATGATTTTGATTGAAGTCATTTGGTATTGAATAAATGCTATAAACAGAGTAATTACATGGTTCGAATTCTGAATTTCCTTGAAATCCAGGCTGACGTCATCACCAATGAGTACGAATGGTGCCCAGTACTGCACCTCTTTGAACATTTCACTCTCTCTCATGCACTTCATGGCCTGCTGGAGAGCTTCACTTGCCTTCTTGCCTTTAGCAAGTGCATCGTAGAAGAAACTCATGAGCTCCGGGGTTCCCTCGTCATCAATCGCCCATAAGGTTACCACAACAGATTTAGCACCGGCACCCAAAAATGCTCGCGCGATGCCGACCACACCCTCGGCCATAACCTCCCCACAAGCGGTGTGACAACAATTTAGTACAACCAATCGAGCCCGCAGCCCAGATTCTAGGACATCTTTCATAGTCATTAGATAGTCTTTTTCTTCTGGTTGAGAGTTTTTCCTTGTAGTGTTTGGTGCCAAGATGACTTCTCCAGTTTCCATTTTACCGTGCGCTGCAATGTGAACTAACGCCACTGATGACATTCGTTTTAACACCTTTTCTTTTGTTGCCATTTCTCCAATGAGTGGGGAATGTTTTAGGATGCGTCCGATCATCTCCACTTCTTTTCTTGCTCCCGGAAGTTGCACCAAAAGTCCTTCCTGATAGATGATATGTTTGAAACATGGGTCGCCAACAAGCAATGCACCTCTTTTCAGGTGGAATTCAGCTGGGCAATCATGAATTAGTTGCAACGTCGTCAGAGACGGAAGCACACGAATACTGAAAGAATCACTTAGATATGATGACCTCGAGTCCTCCAATGCTGCATAAGGTACAAGGCAAAATGGCCCCTCAGGAACAAAAGTTATCTCGTTGCCTTTGATCAGATCAGCAATAGGAGAAACGATGATGTCATGAAGCTTCTGTAGAGCCCTTGATTGTGAGCACCTCACATCAACTCGGATCACATCCTTGGCAACTTCCTCCTCTTTTGGCGAACCAGGTGAAGGATTTTCGCATGGAACAGCATCTCTTCTGCCAATCTCCTTAAGGGCAGTTTTGTTCTGTAGCCGGATGAAAAATTCCAATTCATTCTCATATTTATAATTGTTCACATGTACTTTTCTCATCTGGATATTATCTTCACAGAGAAAAACCCAGAAGTAAACGCATGGTCCATTGAGAGCCATGAAAACTGTATTTGATGGAACAGAATTCAGGGAAAGGCACGAACTGCCATTCCTTAAAGTATGATCAGGCCGATACCTTGTGTCCATAATATCTCTTAGAGCTTGAGCACGTCCTTTTTCTGCGGCAAGAAGAGCGTTCACAACTTTACCTTGAATGAGACTTATACGCCACAAACCTTTGTATGCACTTTGGTGCTGATTACGATAAGAAATCTTCCACTGATCGTTGAGTTGAAGACTGGCCGTGATGTCATCATACACCTCTACACTCGAGTTAAAGTAGGTGAAGGCCCTCATGGGATCTCCTTGACACTCGAAACTCATTCCAAGAGAACCGAGTGAGCACGCTTCTCCAGTCTTGTCCCTTACTTCTTTGGATATTTCTAGGTAACGTTGATATAACTCGATCGCCCTTTTAAACTTTTTTTGACCGAGAAGAATGGTGCCGAGATGGTAATAACTTATTCCCTCTCCGGTCTTGTCTCCCACCTCTTTAGCAATTTCTAGAGAACGGATCTGGTACTCGATAGCTGTTTGGAACTGTCGCACACTATAGTAAACGTCCCCGAGATTGCCATAACTTCGTCCCTCTCCTGCCTTGTCTCCCACTTCTTTAGCAATTTCTAGAGAACGGATCTGGTACTCGATTGCTGCTTTGAACTTTCGTAGAGCACGATAAGCGTTGCCCAGATTGCCATAACTTCGCCCCTCTCCCACTTTGTCTCCCACTTCTTTAGCAATTTCTAGATGACGTTGATGGTACTCGATTGCTGTTTGGAACTGTCCTAGACCATGATAAGCGTTTCCGAGATTGCCATAACCTCGTCCCTCTCCCGCTTTGTCTCCCACTTCTTTAGCAATTTCTAGACAACGTTGATGGTACTCGATTGCTGTTTTGAACTGTCCTAGACCATGATAAGCGTTGCCGAGATTGCCACAACTTCGTCCCTCTCCCGCTTTGTCTCCCACTTCTTTAGCAATTTCTAGACAACGTTGATGGTACTCGATTGCTGTTTGTAACTGTCCTAGACAACGATAATCGTTGCCGAGATTGCCATAACTTCGTCCCTCTCCCGCTTTGTCTCCCACTTCTTTAGCAATTTCTACATCACGTTGATGGTACTCGATTGCTGTTTGTAACTGTCCTAGACCATGATAATCGTTGCCGAGATTGCCATAACCTCGTCCCTCTTCCGCTTTGCCTCCCACTTCTTTAGCAATTTCTAGACAACGTTGATGGTACTCGATTGCTGTTTGGAACTGTCCTAGACCATGATAAGCGTTGCCGAGACTGCCATAACTTCGTCCCTCTCCCGCTTTGTCTTCTACTTCTTTAGCAATTCCTAGAAGACGTTGATGGTACTCGATTGCTGTTTTGAACTGTCCTAGACCATCATAAGCGTTGCCGAGATTGCCATAACTTTGTCCCTCTCCCGCTTTGTCTCCCACTTCTTTAGCAATTTCTAGACAACGTTGATGGCACTCAATTGCTGTTTGTAACTGTCCTAGACCATGATAAGCATTGCCGAGATTGCCATACGTTCCTCCCTCTCCCGCTTTGTCTCCCACTTCTTTAGCAATTTCTAGACAACGTTGATGGTACTCGATTGCTGTTTGGAACTGTCCTAGACCATGATAATCGTTGCCGAGACCGCCATAACTTCGTCCCTCTCCCACTTTGTCTCCCACTTCTTTAGCAATTGCTAGATCACCTTGATGGTACTCGATTGCTGTTTGGAACTGTCCTAGACCATGATAAGCGTTACCGAGACCGCCATAACTTCGTCCCTCTCCCGCTTTGTCTCCCACTTCTTTAGCAATTGCTAGATCACGTTGATGGTACTTGATTGCTGTTCTGAACTGTCCTAGACCATGATAAGCGTTGCCGAGACTGCCATAACTTCGTCCCTCTCCCGCTTTGTCTTCCACTTCTTTAGCAATTTCTAGACAACGTTGATGGTACTCGATTGCTGTTTTGAACTGTCCTAGACCATCATAAGCGTTGCCGAGATTGCCATAACTTCGTCCCTCTCCCGCTTTGTCTCCCACTTCTTTAGCAATTTCTAGACGACGTTGATGGTACTCAATTGCTGTTTGTAACTGTCCTAGACCATGATAAACATTGCCGAGATTGCCATAACTTCGTCCCTCTCCCGCTTTGTCTCCCACCTCTTTAGCAATTTCTAAATGACGTTGATGGTACTCGATTGCTGTTTGGAACTGTTCTAGACCATGATAAGCGTTGCCGAGATTGCCATAACTTCGTCTCTCTCCCGCTTTGTCTCCCACTTCTTTAGCAATTTCTAGACCACGTTGATGGTACTCGAGTGCTGTTCTGAACTGTCCTAGACCATCATAAGCGTTGCCGAGATTGCCATAACCTCGTCCCTCTCCCACTTTGTCTCTCACTTCTTTAGCAATTTCTAGATGACGTTGATGGTACTCGATTGCTGTTTGGAACTGTCCTAGACCATCATAAGCGTTGCCGAGATTGCCATAACTTCGTCCCTCTCCTGCTTTGTCTTCCACTTCTTTAGCAATTTCTAGATGACGTTGATGGTACTCGATTGCTGTTTGAAACTGTTCTAGACCAAGATAAGCGTTTCCGAGATTGCCATAACCTTGTCCCTCTCCCACTTTGTCTTCCACTTCTTTAGCAATTTCTAGATGACGGTGATGGTACTCGATTGCTGTTTGGAACTGTCCTAGATCATCATAAGCGTTACCGAGACTGCTATAACTTCGTCCCTCTCCTGCCTTGTCTCCCACTTCTTTAGCAATTTCTAGATGATGTTGATGGTACTCGATTGCTGTTTGGAACTGTTCTAGACCATGATAAGCATTGCCAAGATTGTCATAACTTCCTCCCTCTCCCACTTTGTCTCCCACTTCTTTAGCAATTTCTAGATCACGTTGAAGGTACTCGATTGCTGTTTGGAATTGTCCTAGACCATGATAAGCGTTGCCGAGATTAACATAACTTTGTCTCTCTCCCGCTTTGTCTCCCACTTCTTTAGCAATATCTAGATGACGTTGATGGTACTCGATTGCTGTTTGGAACTGTCTTAGACCATGATAAGCGTTGCCAAGACTGCCACAACTTCGTCCCTCTCCCGCTTTGTCTCCCACTTCTTTAGCAATTTCTAGATGACGTTGATGGTACTCGATTGCTGTTTGGAACTGTCCTAGACCACGATAAGCGTTGCCGAGATTGCCATAACTTCGTCCCTCTTCCGCTTTGTCTCCCACTTCTTCAGCAATTTCTAAACGACGTTGATGGTACTCGATTGCTGTTTGGAACTGTCGTAGACCATGATAAGCATTGCCGAGATTGCGATAACTTTGTCCCTCTCCCGCTTTGTCTTTTACTTCTTTGGCAATTTCTAGACGACGTTGATGGTACTCGATTGCTCTTTGGAACTGTCCTAGACCACGATAAGCGTTGCCGAGACTGCCATAACTTCGTCCCTCTCCCGCTTTGTCTCCTACTTCTTTAGCAACTTCTAGATGACGTTGATGGTACTCGATTGCTGTTTGGAAATGTCCTAGACCATGATAAACATTACCGAGATTGACATAACCTCGTCCCTCTCCCGCTTTGTCTCCCACTTCTTTAGCAATTTCTAGATGACGTTGATGGTACTTGATTGCTGTTTGAAACTGTCCTAGACTAACATAAGCGTTGCCGAGATTGCCATAACTTCGTCCCTCTCCCGCTTTGTTTCCCACTTCTTTAACAATTTCTAGACAACGTTGATGGTACTCGATTGCTGTTTGGTACTGTCCTAGACCATGATAAGCATTGCCGAGATTGCCATAACTTCGTCCCTCTCCCGCTTTGTCTCCCACCTCTTTAGCAATTTCTAAATGACGTTGATGGTACTCGATTGCTGTTTGGAACTGTTCTAGACCATGATAAGCGTTGCCGAGATTGCCATAACTTCGTCCCTCTCCCGTTTTGTCTCCCACTTCTTTATTAATTTCTAGACCACGTTGATGGTACTCGATTGCTGTTTGGAACTGCCCTAGACCATTATAAGCGTTGCCGAGATTGCCATAACCTCGTCCCTCTCCCGCTTTGTCTTCCACTTCTTTAGCAATTTCTAGATGACGTTGATGGTACTCGATTGCTGTTTGGAACTGTCCTAGACCATGATAAGCGTTTCCGAGATTGCCATAACCTCGTCCCTCTCCCGCTTTGTCTCCCACTTCTTTAGCAATTTCTAGATGACGTTGATGGTACTCGATTGCTGTTTGGAACTGTCCTAGACCATGATAAGCGTTGCCGAGATTGCCATAACTTCGTCCCTCTCCCGCTTTGTCTCCCACTTCTTTAGCAATTTCTAGATGACGTTGATGGTATTTGATTGCTTTTTTGAACTTTCCTTGACCATGATAAATGGTGCCGAGATTGCAATAACTGATCATCATCACGTTTAGTCCATCATTAGATCTGTTCAGTTGATTAAGCAGACCTTTACCATTCTTGTCAATCTTAAAATTTGTCAAGGATACAGAAGTCATGATTTTAACAATAATTAGAATATTAGGTAGGACCTTACGCATTGGAAGTGGCTGTCTTATAAAGTTTTGCTGCTTAAACAATACGCTTATTTATAAAGTGAATATTAATGTAAACGAGCTTTCAAAGGTAATTATTTGTTTAGTTTCTACCTTGGTCCCTTCTTTTAATTCAGGTTTCATTAAATGATATTATATTCGCTTGTTATAAGTGCTAAAGGCGTCATTTAATAATTATACATGGACGCGCGTAAATGTGGAATTTTTTTCGAGTGTTCAACTACATAGACACGAGTGAGGTATCGAGTTAAACACGAGAAGAGAAATTCCATATCCGCAAGTAACTATGTATTATTTTCTATTACATGAGTACAACAGCCCTTTACTGAGGGAAAAGTCGACTTAATTAATGAATGAAAAAAAAAACAGAATCTACAGTTTCTGAAGAAAAGTTATTACGTGCTTTGACGACAAGGCTCAGGGTGAAAAATGCGTTGACTCGTTGCAAAAACAAACAATGGGCGTAATTTTTTAATTTAAATAATTCTCAGCTGTTGACTATTTCCTTACCGACAGAAGAAATCTTTTCGAGCACCCGGCCAAAATAGGCCTGGAGCAAGTCTTCCAGTCCTCGATTGTCGCTCTCAACCGCGAGAACTTTCGGTTCTTGTTTTCGTATTTTGTTTTTTCCCCCTTCTAGGAAATTATGAACGTCATTGTCTGTAAGCGATACAAATTTTTCAATTTTTTTGTGATCATAATCTGATTGAACCGTATTGATTTTCTTTGAAATATTTCTCGCATTGCATCTATTATCTCACTCGAAACTTTCGTCAAAGGATACGGCCAATCCCATGTGCAACCAGCTCCTTGCTTCTTCATACAAGCAAAGTTCGACACAAGCTCTGGCTCCTCAAAAGAAAGAATGCAATGATTGGTAGAGCGAAGTAATTCAAGGTATACATGTGTGCAGACTGTGTTTTTCATTTAGTTCGTTAGACAACTGTGAAAATGAAGGAAAATAGAAGTTGTGGAAGAATTGAAAGTGGACAATAAGAGTTAGTGCAAAGCGGTGACTCTGATTGTAAATAGCTTATGCTTTTTCATCTCCGCACTGAATTTGGCGTAGTTTTCTTAGGGGCGGTACCTTGGGTATCTCGAATTTTCTTTTACTCTGTTGTTAATAACAATCTTTAAGGCTATTTTCTCGTAAACTATCTTTTCAAACGTAATTTCAATTCTGCCAATAGGTTAATTATAATTTTTATATTATCAATCTTGCCTTCGTTCTGGCCGGTCTTAACCGTACAATTAAGAAATTTAAGGTAGAAGATGATTTTGTGATTGCGTAAACAATTCGAAGGTCCATACTTAGTAAGCAGGAACTGTCGTACGTACTCTAACGTGATTCGCTGGCTGAAACGGAGCGATCGCGATGTAAGAAGATTGACAGCTTAGAAGTGTCGTCTTTGGTGACACCTTTATAAGCTGGTGCACAGCATCTTTCAATCAGAGAATATAACAAAGCAGAACAGTGTGGACTTATGTCGAAAGAAATAAGTTGAACTGTGGTGAATAAGATCAATATTACTGGGCTAGTTCCCGAGAGTAAGAATTGTACCAGGAGCTCAACCAGGAAATAAAGAAAATTCAACCGAGTGTTAGAGAGTAATTCTTCTAACACTGTGGCTAAAATACTCACCTTTCTTAATAGCCTTGATTAAAGTGGGTTCCAATTGAACAGCAACCGTTGCGTCATCGAGACACTGTTGGTAGTTCCCTATGGAATTCAGGAATTAAATTTAAGTAGTCATCAATGAAGTCATAAAATGCATGTAATTTGTGTAGAACATCCGTTTATATTAAAAGTTGAAATTGCTCAAATTGCAGGCCTCTGAGGATGTCTACCTTATACGATTTTCAACTACAGGTCAAATAGAATTTTATTTCATTACGATTGCGATCAGATTTCTTGAAAAATGTTCAAAATTCAAAATTTGCCTCGCTCCCATGCCAGCGTGTGGTCTCGTGTCTATTCTGGTAGTAGCGCCCAGCTTGTATTTAGGATGCGCGGTTTCTAATCCCGTCGAGGACTGCTTTTTTATGCTCAGTCTTCCGTAATTACTTAAATTGGAGTCCATCTGTGAAAATTAATTATTTTCTCGGAGCAGATTGCGTATTGCTTTTTAGAGGGTGTAAATTTCTGAAAAAGCTGTGGTGCTGCAAATCCGGACTCCATCTGACCAAGGGCTAACGTTCAAAACGATAGCTGTGTAATTTCTTTACGGTAGCCAAATCAAATTACCAACTCGTTTGAGAAAACCAAATCAACCTGCACGCTCTCTCTAAGTTCGATTCAGGAACTAAATCGTTGGGATCTGGATCCAAAGATTCCAACCTCAAAGATCGTGAAATAACCTCGAATTAGCTAATCTTCCCCCCCACCTCTCTAAAAACGGCAAACGCAGGATTTTTGAGGGGGAAGGGAGCGTGTGTCTTTGGTTAGTTATTCTGTGGTATCAAATATGATCAGTCTCACGACGATTACCATGACAGATGATTGAACAATAGGATCATATTATACATTTTTGAGAGAGACCAGAGCATGAGACAGAGAACCGTGAGAGGTGAGAGAGAGCGGGAGATTAAGTTGATTTTATAAAATAAAACGTGAAGTTTCGGAACATAGCAGATTCTTTAGTCTCATTTCCGACACGACCATGACGGGCGTTTACAACCACACGAGGACCACACCCCGGCCGTTGACCACGATCATCGGTTATAATCTACAGCTAAAGAACTCTATCACCGTATGAAAATGGCTAGAGGCTTGAAAAAGGAATTCTTACCCAAACGGAAATGAGCTGTTGCCCTGTTGCTATAAAGCTTGGCGTTAAGCCGTTCATCTTTGCAGTTCACCTGAAGTCCTTCCGTGTAGGACTTTATCGCGTTATTAGCTTCTCCTTGTTTGTATTCTTTGTTACCTTCCGCGAGACATACTTTCGCTATCCCTGAAAGCAGGCCATTTTAATGTTAATTATCTAGTAATGCACGCAAAATTTAGAGGTAAGAACGAACCTTCAGATCATAAAGAAACTTAGAGCTCTGCACAAAAAAATAACAGTGATCCTTGCAAACTTTTCGTGGTAACCAAATCAACTTGGTTTACGTTCGACTTTGAGTGCTGTACCTTAGAAGATGAAGCTTATTGACTCTCAGCAAGTTATTCCCATAACACTACAAATTCTTGATGTAAATATGTCAAAACTTAATTGGGACGCCTTTCAAAGAAGTCATTTTCGCCTGGTTTTCTCACCTCTTGAGGGGTCATCGTATATTCCCAGTTCTGAATCGCTCGACGTAATTTGACTTTCCTCTAACGCTGAAATTGCCAAGCGGAAAATATATTAATCTTATAAGTGATCACAGCTATAAGCAATTTCAACATGCACACTATCCTCGCCACCTAGAATACCAACGCATTTATTAGATTCCAAAAACACATAAAACCTTCAAGTGTAAATTTTAAAGATTACTGCACATGATTAAAGATATACATTACTATTCGACCAAAAGGTTTAACAACCACTTCAAAACTATCATATAACGGTCTTTTTCGCTTACCTGTGACTGGAGGTTCATTGTTCAAGTCCAGTTCTTCCCCCGTTGTTGGAAAATTATTTTCTGCCATAGCTGAAAATAAAAAGGAGTCGATTCTAATGCGCTAGAAACCATGGTTACAAATCAATGGAGGAGACTGAAATGAAAGTAATCTAAAGAGAAGATCGAGAAAAATAAAGAGTCCCAAAGTTTCTCCTGTCACGCTTTTTTTTGCGAACCACGAGGCTCTTTTAACCTAAAAGTTCGTTTTAAGTAAGAAGTTGAGTAGTATTCACTACTGAATCATTAACGCAAAACACAGAAGAGGGTTTGCGTAACCGTCAGGAAGTCTACCAACGAAGTCCCTCGGCCCCCCTCTACCGAGCCCATTACGTAAAGAATCGAGTTCATACCGTCACTCAAAAACATCTATCGACCAAAGTCCCAGTTATTTCATAAAACGCATGGGTAAAATTTCCCATAAAGCTAGAGAAAATTCCACAAATTTTCTTTTGAAGGAGCAAGTAAAATATGAAAAACTGAAAGTAGCCGGTCCATAACAAATTGTGTCGGAGAAAGACTCGTTTTTTCATTTTTAAATCAAATTGATTCAGTTATTTTGGGGAACCAGAGAAATGGCATTGGTTGTCCTCTTCGGCAATACTCTTGTTATCAAGAAAAATTATCTGCTAGAAATGAAAAAAAAATGCGAACCAAGCGTAGCACGCGATGGAAGTAGTGAACGCGAAATGAAATATTCAAGGGTATTACACACCCGCGCAAGGATACGAAATCTACAATCGATTGTTGATAATATCGCTCAGTCTTTCGATGAAATGTTTCAAACTCGAGAAGCTTCGAGAAGATCATAGATAAATTTTTATCGAGCGGTGAACATGTATTATCCTCCCTTTTATATAGATATCAACAGCAAATGTGAATTATAGATCATTTCGAAACATTTTGAGAACACCGAGAGGCGATCTGGTGCATCGAAACGCAGCTTGCCGAAAAGCTACTTCAAATTTGGACATGAAAATTTAGCAAATTCGCATCAGAAGAAATGTTTCACTTTTATTTAATTTATTTATTTTTATATTTTTATTATTATTATTATTATTTTATTTTATTATTATTTTTTTTAAGTTGAATTCAACCTTAGACACGTTCGCAGATAAAAGCCTTCCCGGAAAGTATTACCGTAATGTTGATAAATCCGATTATTAAGGCGACATTGATATTTTAACATGTGAAGACATAAATGGTGCGTTACTGCGTGCGGTGAAGATGTCATGTTTTCTATTCCATGGGCATCTACAATACTGTTACAATTACAATACATCGCGAATTTTGCGACATCAAAACTGCAACCGCGATCTTAAGACATAGGGAAAAAACTTTTTTATAGGAATGCATTGTCTATTTGTATTTTTTTTTTAACCTCACGCTTCGTTTCGTTTTCGAGAAATAGTGGCTAGTTTTGATGTTGACGAGAGCTATAAATACAACAGGTCATCCAGTTCTGTAGTTCTGTCACGCTCTCATCACGTGCGGCTGCCGCCTAATAACCTTTTAGCTCCCAAAATCATACTAAAGTGTGATTGAAAATCGGACTCCCGCTTTGCGGTCGTCCGATTTTGCCAATCACTCTTAAGATTACAGACCGAATTGGACTCCACTCGGTTCTATTACCATTATTAATCATATGAGAGAAACCAATGAAATTTTTTAGCGTGATATAAGTGAAATATTTCATATCTGACGGCAGCAAATCAAGAAAGTTCGATTGAAATTAAACCTAATTGTTGTCAGGCTTAAGGAACATAAGATTACGCGCTTCCATTTCAAAAGACATGAGCTCTAAACAACTGTCATAAATTGGAATTTAAAAATTGATTCGTACCTGTTAAACTGTCTTCCTCTGAATCTCTCTATTCTCCAAACGATGCTCTTTGCTATTTCTACATGCCTGAAAATATCAAGATCAATGTTTGCTTCACAATAACATCGATGAAAACATGAAATATTTTATATTCACTAGTTTAAAACATTTATTAGTCTCGTTTAATTCCCAGAGTCGTGATCAAAACTTCCTTTTCCACTTCAAGAAAGTTATTGTTTGTTTATTTTTATTTTTTATTACTGTTTGTTTAAATGTTTCTGCGAGACGATTATTTCATTCTGCGATTCAAATTCAGTTATTCCCCTTTCAGTGGAAAACAACCGCAATTCCTTTTTCTCCTCAGAGCAGGACACTCTCTGTCATAACTGGATCAAAAAGAATGATTTCAAACCGTGAGTTAAATATCGTACCAATAAAATTCCTCTTCAAGTGATCACCTCGATATCTTACTCGTTTGCCGTGCTCACTCGTGAGATATCGAGGTGACAACGAGAAGGGTAACTCCATATTTACAAGCAACCATGAATTATTTTGTTTATTAGACAAACACTAAAGTCCTTTACTGACAAGGAAAGTGTACTATACTAAAAATGAGAATTTGATATTCCTTCATCCACCTGACAAAGTGGCGCGGAAGGCGAGTGACGTGTCAGCAGCTGATTGGCGATATAAATCAATGCAGCTTATAAGACAAATGTTTTTTTTATCATCTTTCCATGAAAAAAGCGTTACGATTTTCTCAATATTTCATATTCCGCTTTTGTCGTGACAACTCCATAGAGTAGCTAAAAATAATAACGGGGAACTTATTTCTTCTTCCCGCCAATTCTGCACTTGAGATATATACAGTCAAAAGTGAAGAAAAAACACCTAGTCGAATTAATGATGCTATATATCTCATCCCAATACGATTACTTTTGGAACAATTAAATGTGTTCCTTCCTTACAAGAAAAGGATGCTGATTTCCAAGATAGATTTTTTCACACTCAGTTGAGTCCCAAAGAAGATTAAAAGGACACCTATCTTCCTGATTCATTCACTGAGTGCCTCTCACATGAAGAGAGAATTTTGTGTGTTTTCTGTTCTATACGATTAAATTTTGGTTTTGGTGAACATTGCATGGAAATTCACTTTGTGAGAACAAGTAGCGCATCATTGTTCATAACCGGAGGCAGATATAAATTTAAAAAGGTTCCATAAATAATACAGTAGTCTTGTATACTTTTTTCAAAATTTTTCCCTTCTTTCGATTATAATATGCCACTCATTACTTCACTACCTTTCCTTACCTCAAGAATGCCGCTATTAAATTCCAATCAAGCTCTTTTCCAAGAAGGATACTTGACTTCTCGTCGTAACTAACGAGGAACAGATTCAAATCGTTTCACGTTTTGCAAAGAACGCAGTTGATTACATTAAACTCAGAATACCTTATGATCTCTTCTTAAATAAATATCCGCTGAAGTTATAGAAATATTTTCTATCTAGAAATTCCATGCATCTCTGTGTGGAGAAAACCTCAGCGTATCTTACAGGAATTTTGTGAATAAAATGTTTTTGAATCAGTTTTCTGTAAGTTGGGACCGTGAAAGAGAAATGTGAGTCTGTAGCTCTCTCTGTTTGAGCCCAGCATTTTCTGTCGCGTTCGGATTCATTAACTAAGGCTATTTACTAAGGTGTATATAGGACAAGCGGTACACATGATACTGGAATCAGTAATATCAATAGAATATCAGTCGATATTCTCTTGGTAATGATGTAGTTTCATAGATTCCTCATGGGTATGTAAATAAGCTACCTTAAATAAAAAAAGGGAGAGTATGTTTTTTTTCTCGGCTTCGATAAAGAACGATTTTAATTATTTTCACGAGTGTATAATAGAGAAAGAATACGAGCCTGTTTGAGCATTCAATCTTTAGACCAGCAGATCAAGATTTATGAATATTTTTCATTCGACAATAGAGCTCAAACTCACTTTCTTTCTTTATTTATTCTCAGACATGACACTTAACTACATTTCAGATCTTAGCAGTATGCAGGACGGTTGTCATATACAAACAAGCTTAAACAATGCGTGTTTTGGCGCATTAACGAGAGCTGCAAGGCTCCAAGGTCTAACTTTCAGATCGTAAAATTCGAAGGTCAAAGATTTGAAGCCTGGAGTGAAGTCAATATTATTCTTTCTCCCAAACTCGTGACGAGTAAATACGATCGATATTTCTTTCATTCTTTCGTCTTATACTTCAAATTATTTGTTTATGTAATCTAGTCAATACTCGCCCATCTCATTCACTGCAATGGATCCTTATCAACTAATTCTGTCCTCACCTTTACTCCTGTGAAAATGTGATTTGCCCCACAAGTGTAACAAAACAGTGCTCTTGGTAACACCAGTTGTATTAAAGAAACTGAATATGAGCTCATCGAACTCGAAACAGAAAATCTTGTATCATTTGTTTATTTCGGGATACATGATTCGGTTTGGTGGCTATGCTATTTCACTATCGGAACATC